CTGGTCCAATACTTCAGAACATATCTAACTTGGATAAGGCATTGCAGCCTATGGGAACAAGCAGTCAATTGTTTGGCACGCAGGCCTCTTGCACATCGCCTTCATCCTCGTCGGCGCTCTCATCCAGAATGACCTCTACATGGCATGCCATAATATGCACATGGCATGGCCCACCAATCCTGGTAAAGAATCTTCTAGTCTGATTGGCGAGCAACAGGCAAGGCCGCATGGTTCCAACAGAAGCCGAAGGCCCGTGCCAAGAAACAAGTCTGGCGCCTCAGCGAAGCTCAGGACAAAGAGTCCGCACGCGTGCGACGGTGCACGACTTTGCGCCTGCCATGATCCCCGAGTAAATCTTGAATTCTTCTACATGCAACAGAATCTTGCTCGATTAAATATGGGTGCGAGGAACCAAACTGGTACATTGACAGGCCATTCTTTCCAAGGACGTTTCTGCGCAGAGTGGCAGCCAACATCCAGCAGTTGTGGGGGGACGATTGGGATGATGCTTGAAAGAATTGAACTGAGTTTTGAAGGTCCCCTATGCTCCGAAACACTCATATGATCATTGCTGCAAACAAGGTTTGTTCAACCTAGGTGCTGAATTTACATTGGGGGTCTTGAAGCGACATTCAGCAAGTAACCGACATCTGGTTTGGCAGCTGCCATGAATGTCGCAGGAGTGTACGGGGCTGGGGCAACTGTCCTGTCCTCTTCACATTGACATGCAACTTTGTGACATAAACCATCTAATGGATCCACAACAGAACAGCAAACTGACAAGATGAGATCTAAACGGCAACATTGAAAGCTTGTCACAGCAACAAATCGAACGGGTGTTTGTCAGAACTATGTCGTCTACAAACACCAGCACCAGGCACAAGGCAACGCGGCTTGCTCGGCACCATTTATGTTTTCCAGCACGGTTGAAAGGGGACGGGACTGCCCTCGGGTTGTGCTGAAAGCCAACTAATTAGAACCAAATCAAAGAATATTTCCTCAATCTGCCCGTGGCTTGGCCCGGCTCAGGGCTCAGGGCGGCGCCGTGGCGCCCGTTGAGGTGTGTCATGGAGACCTCCTGGCAAGGCGAGCTTGCCGGACGTTTCGAGGTTTGCGCTGAGTGAGCAGAGTGCACGAAGCTCATTGACGCAATTTCAACAGAATGGGTCTACTACGCCTGCGCCAAAACTCTCAAACGCAGCAGCCGCACTACCAGTGCCACATGCTGCTGAATCTACGCGTTGCCACTGATGGGCAATGCGCTCAAGGCCAAGCTTCGTGCTTAAAAAAAAACTTGGCCGATCTCAAGCCGTTCAGTTTCGTTCAGGCAGGGCTATGATGAGGCTGTCCATTGCTTCCTCCAACACTTGGGATTTGGACTTCTTGAGCAACCGGACTTGTTTTTGGTGCTCCTCGTTGATGGTGAACAGCGCCTGTGCCAACTCCCTGCCTGAGTCTCCAACCGCAGCTTCTCAAGAAAGTCCGCCCATCCCTCGATACGCTTGACCACCCCGGCAGATTTGGTGGCGGCCTCCGTGAGCAGGATTTGAGACCGTTCATGCTGTTGAAGAATCTGAGCAGCTCGCTCGGGATTCGCAATTCCCGTCTCTTGCACTGCTTGCAAGAGCTGCGCTTGGACCACCTTTAGCGCCTCGTCCTTATCCCTCACTTCAGCTTCTGCCGACAGCAGCCCCTCACCTTCAAGAACATTCTTCCAAAACTGAGGGGACGCCTTCACATTAAGCTCTGCCATCGACGCCTGCACCTTCGCCTTCCGGTCGATGATATCCTTCAACTCATTCTCTATCAGGTCCAACTCTCCATCCAGCTCTTGGCATTTGGCCTCGCGTTGCTCCTCATCCCGCTGCACCTGCCCTTCGTAGACTTTCAACTCTGGTTCCCAATCTCTTCGCCAAAAGCGCCTGATGTGCCAGTCACGAACTTTCTTGGTTGCATTTGCTGTTGGGCGCTGCACGCTCGTAACTCCCGCTTCGAGTTCTGCTTCTCCCGTATTTGCTTATTCAGATTGTCTTCCTGCTCTTCGAATCGCCGAAGTTGTTCCTCTTCCTTTCTGTTGCTTCGAAGGCTGACAACTATACTTGTCTCTGTCAATGAAATTAAAAAAAAAGGGGGGATGTTGTTCAGGATCAAAGAATGGCACAACCTCAACTGCAATCAAGGCTCATGCTTCATCCTCTGTAGCAGGTTGCCTTCCTTCCGGGCTTCCAGGGCTAGCTGCACATCACGGTCTGCCAGGTTGTAAATCCGAGTGCACTTCTCTGCTGCCTTCTCCTTCTCCTCTGTCAACTTGGCGAATTCCTGGATGTTGGCCTCCACGGCTGCACCTCCCGGCAGCCGCGATTGCAAACGCGCGGTCGCGCGGTCCAGCAAACCCGCATGGCAGCCCGTGGCATTTTCTGCCAGCTCCCGCATCTTTGCTACCCAAGCCTGCAGGCTTTGCCGGAATTGCGCTCGTTGCTGCTCCTTCTCCGAGTCAGGCATGTCCTTCTTCGTTAACTGGAAGTAGGCATCTTGCATAACTGCCAACTGCTTAGTATGTTCGTGCGTGGCAATCAATCTTTGACAATGCTTGCTTCTCACTTGCACGATCTGCCGAAGGTCTGCTTGCGCCTCTTCCCTCACACACCTGACAGCTTGATCCACATGAGTCGTCTGGCTGCAAACAAAGTGGTTGACCACTTCCAAAGCTTCCATGTTCAAACCTTCCTCCTGAAGTTCGCAAAGAAGGTCGTCCAGGTCTTTCACGAAAGCAGTCTCTGAAAACCCTAGTAGCATTCCGGCCTTCCTCATTGCTGCCAGAGCTCGGTCTGCAAATCTCTGGGGCTCAGGATGTTGCTTTGCACTGCTGAGACCATCACCTCTGGCCAGGCGGTCCGAATGCATCTGCTGGTGCAATGCTTTGTTAAAGCCCTGCTCTATGAGAACATCGCGCTGCACCAGAATCTTCTTGCGATGGATTTCTTCCTCCACGCCCATGGCCATGAGGTCGTCGACAGTCAGATTTGGCAGCAACACGCCGTTAACCCCTGCGGCCTCGAACCTTGGCACGTACTGCTCGAAGTGCGACCCCAACGTTTCAAGCCAGAGAGACACTGTGGAAGTGGTCATGGTTCCAATGTCTTGGTACCGATCCGATGGCGCCTGCGACTTCTTGTCGAACCAAATCCTCGCAGGCTTCAAGCGCTGGGGTGGGCCAAGAGGGAAAGGACCCACGAAGCTCACCGGAACAACACGGCCATGGCCGCCACAAGCCACGCACGGCCCACACCATGGCCATATCTCCCAGGCATGGCTCAGGATGTGATCCTGGAAGCTGTTTGAGCACAAACTGAGCGGTGGTGCACCTCTGGAATATTTGCCCAGGTCTTCAAGCTGTCAGCGCAGCAACTCGTGTTGAACGGTCAGACCGGTATCCAGCCTAGTGACTGAGCTCTCTCACATTGCCTCAACAAAGTACCGATGCTTTAAGGCAAAGTCGAAGGGAAAGGTGTTTGTTTGAGGTCCCGCATTTACAGACCCCCTGTAAAGAACCTGAGATCCTCTAAAATCTGCCCGAGCTGCAAAGAACCGCGGATATCCACAAGACGTCAAGCACATGGCCTACTGAACAGCTGCAGGAATCCTCAAACATGCTGAAAACGGTTGCCTGCGTCCTAATGCATGGACAATGAACCCACGGGGCCTGCTGATGTTCATACCCCTCTTCCCAAAAGGGGTATATACCCCTTATGAAGCGGGTTGAAAACCACGGAAGCCAAGGGGTATGACGAATCATGGCTCCCGGAAAAAGACAAAAATGACTTACACATATTAGGTTTTTGGCTTCCATGTCAATCTGCCAAGTATTAGTTCAATCCCTTCATAGGTCCCCTTACAATGGTTCTGGGGGGCATGGGTCACGGTTCCTGTTTAGGAAGCCTTACGAATGAAAAATCCCTTCAGCGGTTCATGACTAGTGACCATGGCACATATGGGCTCAATCCAGGCCCTCAAATGAATGATCATGGATAACTGTTTCTTCCCAAGTAAGGACCCTTAACTTCGACTCTGTCCTGCACCTGCGTCGGAAGTGTCTCCGGCTGCGGATGTTAAAATGTGCTCTCCTCACCGGCTGCGGCTTCCCCTTTTCGGGTGAGCGGTGGACCAAAACTCAAACTGACTCATCGTCTGGCTCTGCAAGGGGATGCTTCGGCTGTGGCTTTGGCAACATGTTCTACCAACTTTGGGAAATAAGGGTTTAAGCAGAGCTTATATGCCCCCATGAGAACAGTCACTGGACTCTCTACCTCTTGGCTTGTCCAAAGACAGGTTGAGGGTCCAAAGAGAGAGAGAAAGAGAGAGAGAGAGAGAGAGCAAAAGAAAGTGAGAGCGAGAGAGAGAGAGAAAGAGAGAGAGAGAGACAAAGAGAGAGAGAGAGAGAGACTCAAAATGTTCTATGACGATTGAAAGTCCCACATCCCTCCCAAATTGTGTGTGTTGCTTGATGTACCACTTGATGTAGAAACTCCCCTCGTGAAACTTGTGATTGTGGGATGTGTCGTTTGGGGAACCCTGTTTCCTTGAGTACCTTGTGGACACTGTTGACATAGAGGGAGTTGTGCCCACAAAGAAGGTGTTGAGGCAGTTGACGCAATTGTGCCTTTGAGTCATACCCCACTTTGCTTGTTTCTTTTTCTGATCGGCTCCGAAGCAAGTGTTTGCTTCTCACTTCGGCTCCGAAACCCTGGCAAACTCATTGGGTCAACCCAACGCAGCCCGTCCAGCTCGCTGGTCTTCTTGCGCAAACGCCGCGCTGGCGTCGCTTTCATGCTTCGCCTATGTGCTTTTATTTATTATTGTTATATATTTAAAAAAAAATAAAAAATGAACTTGAGCCAGCTTGTGAAATCAGCACGCAGCCGAGTTTTCTTGGGCTACTGCATGGCAAGCTGGAACGCCCATTCTGGCTTGGCAATGCTTGCACGCAGCATGCAGGACAGGCACGGGAATGGTCGGACGCATTTTGCTTATCGCATGCCTCGAGCAAGGTGTCCTATTTCTTTGACAGAAAACCTTGCAAATCAGCTTCGGGATCGCCCATGTAGATGAAGCCAATTTCATCCCCGTCTTTGTAGCCGCAGTCCACGACGAGGTGCGACAGGTTCAGCTGCGCATCCTCACCCACGCGCTCGCCCATCTTGCCTTTGGCCATCAGCATGCTGCCCTCCTTCAATCCCGTGATGCTGCAAAGCAGCTTCCTCACCTGTCCTGAGCCGAGAGGCCGGGGAGTGGGGGGGGGGGCTGTTGAGAGTCACGAGAACACTTCTTGCAAAGGGAAACAGGGGCTCAAAGTTGGAGATGTCCTTTTACCGTGAGGTCGGTTTGACGGTTCGAGGGCCAATTTTGGGAGAACCGTTTTTGGTGAAACCAAAGCCCATAGCTCCCCGAGCGTTTGTTGGAGAGCGTCCAAAGCCCGACGCCTTCCCAAAAAACAAAGAGGGTAAAGAGAGAAAAAGAGGATAAAGACATCGTCCAGAAGAGGAAAAAAAGAAAACAAGGGAGAAGGCCAACTCGCCCCTTACATCCCTGCTGTTTTCCTTTGCCGCCTGAAACTCACTAGGCGCTCACAAGCCGTCCTCAAAAACAATCAGCACATTACAAGCTCATCCGAAGCCAAAAAAATAGGCACCAAAAAAAGACGCTTCCCCCAGTCCTACGGTCCAATCCTGCTGGATCTCCAGATCCGTGAGCTTCACCCCCTGCTCTAAGGGGCTCATCACCACCAGGCGCATCGCCTGCACCCCGACGCCCTCGAAGACCACGGCGTCGCCGGAGGCAAGCCCGGCCTTCCGGCCAGAGATTTTCACAAAAAATGCCACCCTTTTGGTTGGCACTCAAAGGGAAACTCACAGGAAACCCTTCACTAAAGGCTGCTGTTGTTTCTGCAACAAAGTGGTCTCAAAAGAAAAAGCCGGCCTCTTTGGCAGTTCTGCCATCACTAGACTGGAGGGGTTGAGCGAAACCTAGAGCGGCACGAAAGCTGGTGGGGTTCCAATCAACTAAACCCTGGTTATCCCGAAAGTGTTTATGACAAAGAAAGAGCCCAATTTTGCCCAAGCAGAGCTGCGCAGAAAGAGCTAGAGACGCGCTGCGCGGCCAAGCTATGTTGAGACGTGGTGCGAGGCCAGGCTACATTGAGAAGACCGGCGAAGCAGAGCCATGTCACAGCAACGCGATGCTGAGATGCGCTGCGCGGCAAGCAAAGCTATGTTGAAATGCACTCTGCAGCAAGGCTGGGTTGACATGTTGCGCCGCAATGTTATGCTGAGACACGTTTGCGCAGCAAAGCTATGTTGAGACACGCTGCGTAGCAAGATCATGTTGAGATGTTCTGCGTGGCCAAGATATGTTGAGATGTCAATGTGCTGCGCCAGGCGATGTTGAGATGCGCTGTGAAGCAAGGCGATGTTGAAAAGCTTTGCAGAGCTCGTTAATGCTGAGGTGAATGTCAGGCTTAGCAGAGCAACCCTTTTTCTCTAAAGAACCCTTCGCCACGCTTTCGGGAAGGAAAACTGCCGCCTCCCGGCCTAAAAAAAAAAGGCGGACGGACATTGCGGAGGTTCAAAAGAAACCGAGCGGATGTCTTTCCAGGCGGCAAACCAAACAAACAAAAAACGCGGCGCCGCTTCGACACGCCTCTTTCACTGTGGCGGAGTCCGGAACGTCCTTCGCCAACTTGATGGGCGGCTTCAGCCCGAAGAGCATGCCCAGGATGATCTTCATGTCTGCCACCTGAGTCACAACCAACAGCTGGCAACTCAAAAGGGTCTCTCCCAATTCCAAGGTGAAATTAACAAACAGAAGGCGGCTGCATGGCGACTGTTCCTTACCTCCGCTTTCCTGTTGATTGATGTCATGGGGTCCCCAGCCCGACAAGCTCACCCCTCGAAGCCGACTCACCCAGCGACAGCTGTGGAGAGCGGTGGCCGGAGGGGCCACATGTCTTTCCCAAACCGCCCCTTCCATCTGTGTCTTGTCCGCAAAGAGACCAGAGTCCGGCCTTAAAAACAAACCTAGAAGCCAACCATTAGCATTCAGCTTAAAGAACCCCCCCCCCTTGGCCTGCAAGAGAGAATGCACATTCCCTCCCTTCCCTCCCTTCCTCCACCTCCCCTTCATCACCCCCTTCACCACCGACCCCCCCCCCAACCTTGGTCTGCTCAAAGACCAGGAACTCCTTGTCCCCACCGGAGCCGTCCCAGGCTTTGGCCGCCGCCGGCTTCTTCGCCGTGAGCAGCACCTTCTCCCCGTCCTCCTTGGAGGCCTTCTGCAGGCAAGGTCCTGACTCCGTGTCAAGAAACCTCGCCGAATCTTTTGAGGGGGAAATACCACCGCTGGTCCGTGTTTTTGGGGACAACCAAGGGAAAAACGAAAAAAGAGGGAAACCGCTGTTGGCTCGTTGTTGTTGTTGGGAAAACCAAGGGAGAAACAAAAGGGGGAAACCGCTATTGGCTCGCTTTTTGGGGGGAAAGGGGTCCCTAATCTTGAGACAAGCCAAAAAACCATGGGATCAATGGGGCTCAAAATAAACTGGGCGGAATGACTTGCCCCCGAAGAGAAACCAAGAAGGAAACCAACCATCAATTAGCTACGCAATGCATGGGTACTTGCGCACATGCTGGCACATATGTTAATGTGCCCGTCCACGCACTGCAGGCTTACATGCGCACATGCTGGCACATATGTTAACCCTCTATATACATGAGCTCACGGTGGACTTCCCCCGCCCGACTTGTCTTGGAGCATGTTGCGTTGATGGCTTGCTCTGCAGACTTGTATGTCAGCTACGCTTGTCGCTTGCTCACTGGCGCATGCTCGTGACTTGGAAACTGCGGCTTTCTTTCACACGCTCACTGATTTACGTCGGCGGGTGCACTTTTTTCCAGAAGCCCTCAAAATAAGACAAATGAGAATACACTGTAAAACGCAGGGAATGTTCAACATGTCAATTGCATATTCGCAAGGGCGGCAAGACAGCTACCTTGTGTTTTCCTTCTTCTTCTTTTGTTTTTTTTTTTTGGGGGGGGGGGGGGGGAAACCTGGCGAGTCCCCCATGTCAGTACCTCATAATATGAACCTGAAGGGAGCAGCCAACGCGGTGGTAAGTTTTAGAAATAGGCCTGTCCCCATGAGAGCTGGTAAAACCACTCTCTAACATGACCAATAAGGGATTTGTCAATTGGAATTCCACTCTTAGCCATGCACTCCCGCTGGTACTGGCTGAAGCCTCGTGCCTAGACACTGTTGCGCTACAGCAATAGTGTCTAGGCACGAGGCTTCAGCCAGTACCAGCGGGTGCACATGGAAACTCAATACTGGACGCCCTTGGCTGTCGCGTTGTACTAGTGCTGTAGCGGAACAGTGTCTAGGCACCAGGCTTCAGCCAGTACCAGCGGGAGTGCATGGCTAAGAGTGGATTTGTGAATGCCAAACATACAACAAAAGAGAGACACCCCCCGCGCGAACTGGCGGCCCAGCAAGTCAAATGATGATAATTTTGGTGGCTTTAATTTCTCGTGCCTCTTATTCTCCAGAAGTCGGTCCCGAAGTCCAAAACAGAGTGGGCTTTTTGTGTGCTCTTTCGGGGGGCCAGGCAATGGAGTGACTAATGCCCCATCCGGAAATCGGCTCCGAAGGCCGAAATGCCGAGAACCAACCAACCAACCAACCCGCCAACCAGCCAACCAGCCAACCAGCCAACCAACCAACCAACCAACCAACCGGGTCGGACAGGGCTAAGCAAAAGACAGATCTAAGCAAAAAAAAAAAAAAAAAAACCTTCCCCCTCGTTCTTGAAAAACACCCAGTGGTAGACTTCTGCGCCGACCACTTGTCTTGCGAGAGCCACATACGCCTTCAGGTTCCATTTGAGCAAGGCAAACTCAATCTCAAAGGTTCGAATATTTTGCTTTGTTCCCTTTGGCTTCAAACCTCAAAACAGGCGCCTTGCCCCTCAAAGCAACACCAAAATTGGTGACGCAAGGAAAAGGCGCCAACTTCAAAGAAGGACATGCCCAAATTGAGCGGGATGCATTCTTGGACGGCCGTTTGGGGAGTTCCTCACAAGTCAACCACGAGCGTTTCAGCCACATACAAGTGCCAAATGGGCCCGAATGGCCATGCTCAAGTAGATTTGTGTGGTGTGGCTTGCCTTTTGAAACCTCGGAATTCCTTTTCTAAGGCTTGTTTTTTAGGGTTGAATCCAACCTCCCTATTCAGCCACATATCCATGCCCACCCCACAAAAAAAAAGAAAGAGTCCCCATTCAAGTTAAGATCAGTGCCATATGCAGGTTAGTTGATGACCATCCCTTCTCAGCCCAGCTGGGTCTTTTGACCAGGGCACATGGGCATCACCAAACACTTCGTATGAAACCGGGCTGAGGACTGAAAGGAGCTACTGTGCATGGACGAAATCCTACACCACTTTGAAACTATTGGAAACATTGTGCGTAATCATTCCAGGGTTTTTGTAGGTGTTGCAGGATCTGATGGACGAAACCCGTTCGCACCACCTTAAAAATATCTGGAATGATACGATCCCCCCCCCAAAAAAAAACAACGGTTTCTGATGGTTTCAAAGTGGTGTAGGAATTTGTCCATCCACACAATGGTATAAGTGTCCTCTTGATCGGTTGGTTTGGTTGGAAATAGATGGGTTCTGCTGGTTTGAATAGTTCCATCACTGGGCCCTAGATCCTTTCATGGGAACACGGATCCAGAAACAACTGGTGGATTTTGATCCATTGGTGTTCCATCGGATTTTTTCTAAGCAAATCTACCAGGGCCCCGGACCCCCGCCGATTTTCCAACAGCTTTCTCTATGTCCAGGGCCAGTCTCGGCCAATGGGCCGATGCTGACGGCTCCGGTCCTGGAGTGCCGAATCCGCTGGCATCAATCATGACATAGCCGGGCTTCTCACCGGCGCCGGAGTCCCCGGAGGACACGTCCAGCTCCACCCAGAACCCGCCGGTGGGTCCTTTCCAAACCTGATCTTGCGACTCAAGTGGAGTTTTCTAGGGGTACCTTCCCCAACATGAGGAAACCTCAGGTCCATTTTTTTTGGGAGTGGGGGCCGCCCGTGGGCCCTTTCCAGACCTGACTCAGATCTCGTTTCTCAAGTCAAGTCTGGTGGCCCTTTCTTCTTGGGTCCTTCCAGTGTCCCAAAATGAGGAAACCTTAGGTCCTTTTTTTTAGGAGGGGGGGGTTCTAGGGGTGCCTTCCCTATTTTTTCCCAGGAATCCTTCTTTCTAGAAAAACCTCACGAAACCCAGTGAAAGCGACCGGTGTTTGAAAAGAACGATGGTTGAAAAGAATGGTTGGAATCAACCCCTAGAAGTTTGGTGGTCCTTTCTTCTTGGGTCCTTCCAGTTTCTCAAACTGAGGAAATCTCAGGTCCCTTTTTTGGGGGGAGTGGGGACTTGGGTGTCTCTCAAAGAGACAGAAGGGTATTTCTCCAAACAAGGCGTGGTCCCTTACAGGGAGTTGCTTTCCTTTTGGTACTTTTTTGGAGACAGAACCACTTGGCGTGTGCGTGCCATGATTAAAGAAACCCTTATGTCTGTCATAGTCATGGTCGAGCTTCGGAACCCTTACAACTGTTGTAAAACTTGCGGGCCATGACCCTACCAAACCTGAGACAGGGAGGGGGTTGACCGTGGCAAATCCGAACACGTCCAGAGGGTCTTTAAAAATGGGGGACCTCCACTCTGAATTTCGAAGCCCAGCCTGGGTTGGCCAATTGAAAAAAGTCGTCCGGGCCAACTTGTCGCTTGCCATTTGTCGAAACAAACCACGTGTCGCATAAGATTCCGGCCGCAAGAACAGGAGAGACGCGCCAGGAAACCACCAACCCTGTTGAGGACACCTCATCTCTGGTCTCTCAAGACCCCAGCCACCACGCCCCCCAGCCACAGCCCCCCAGCTACTCCCAGCCAGCCGCAGCTGCCCGCCTTGCCGGTGGTGTGCACCACGGCGCCCACCTTGCGGTTCAGCTTCACAATCTTCTGCGTCTCCGGGTCGGTCCCGGCCTTCTTGAAGACCACGCCTTCGAAACAAACCTAGGTCCTCCGGTAGAGAGGTTAGAAGGGTGCCGGAGTTTGTTTTTTCTGTAGTCTATTTTCGTAGGGGAACCCTCCCCCCACAAAAGGGGAGAGGAGGGCACTACTGGGGGAACTAGAAACCAAAAACGGGGCTTGCTGGTCAAATGGTCCTAAGAAACCCTTGCTACCCGAAATTCTAGAGGACCGGTGCAACCCGCAACCCTTAAGGATGCAGGATTGAAGAGCATCCCTTGCTTTTGGCGCCGGATGTCGTAAGCCGCCGGCTATTGAAAAGGGAAGACCCCAAAGAAGGGGCACGCAGTTTATCACCGCCAGAAGCCCATAGACAGACTGTTGGTTCCATACAACGTGGATATAAATTATAAAGGTGCTTGTTTGTAATAGGCCTGGCCCTTTTGGATTCGGTTTTGGGCGCTCAATTGCGCCGGAATAGACGCGGGCTCTTTTTGCGAGGCTCGGTACCTTTTGTGCGTTCCTTTTAAAGGGAAGCCAAGGGGAAAACCATCCCTATTCGGGGTCCCTGATTTTGAGACCCCAACTTTCAGCAGGGAACCACATGCAAGCTCGCGCGCCTAAAGTCACATAGTAGTCACCCTCCTTCAGCTCCACTGCAGGCTCCACCTGGGCCTAAGTCAGCGATCTACATGGAGCATCACCCCATCACCCCACAAGGGAAGCTCACTTCGCATTGGCCCGATATTTGGGCGCCCACCACGAAAGAGAACATCTAGGGCGGAAACTTGGGCGCAACAGATGGTGGTTCAATCCAGTGGGGGGTAACATGCGTTCAGGAAACCACAGCAAGCATTGCGACCATCGATCGCCAAACCCTGACAAATGCCAAAACCTGCCAGCGCAAGGGCCCCCCTTCACCAAAGCCAACATGAAAACCCTCCAGCGACTGGTGTCCACCAACCAAACCAACCAACGGTTTTTTTGGGACACCTATAGGCCACCTTGCCCTTGACCAACCCACATGGCCTGTGGCTCCGTCTTCCTCACCAGCAGTGCCTTGTCCTTGAGCGTGACGCTCACCCAGCCGCTGGCCGGCCCGGTGCCGGTGACCAGCTGATAGTGCAACCGGTCCCCTGCCAAGTCCAGCTCCTAACGCGCCGATTCCGAATTCCGATCGCTAGGCCCAAGGCTCCGGACGAAGAAGGGGAAGGTGCTGTTCAAAACACCACCCAAAGTTTGTTCTTCTTGTTTTCAAGCGAGGGGAAGTGGGGTCCAACTAGACGTCCTTTCTTTGGGTGACTTGAATATAGCCTTTGTTGGGGCATGAGATGAATTACCAAGCGACTAGATCGAAGCGTCGCGACGTGCGAGTGGATGTTCAAGCTATTGGCATGTTGCGGCATGTGTTCAGGAGTGAGTTGCTCTCAATATCTCTCAATGACTTTGGTTTGGGATCAATCACATACGTCTTAGATGAGTCATAGTCTTGGACGACCAAAGAACTGGTTTGGACAGCGCGGCACTGTGGTAAATGCGTGTCTTTGCAACGTGCTGGGGGGGGGCAACATTCAGTGCTCCCCAGAACGTGTCTTCTGTGCCTGGTGCTTGTTTACCAACTTTGGTGGGTTTGTGTACAGTAGTGTAGTGCGTTGTCAGCAAACTGCAGGTTTGCTTTCGCCACTTAGCGCCCTAGCCGCAAGAGCTGCCCAAACATCCAAACCTCCAACCCCCGAAAAGCCAAACAAAAGCCAAAGCCCCAATAAATCAAACACAAGCCCCAAAACCGAAACAATGTCAAACAAAAGCCCCGCAAAAGCAAACAAAAACCCCCAAAAGCAAAAAACAAAATCAAGCAAAAGCTCCAAAAAGCAAAAAACAAATCAAACAAAAGCCCCACAAAAGCAAACAAAAACCCCCGCAAGCACAAAAAACCAACAAAAGCCCCACAAATCCAAAACAAATTCAAACTGCAAAAAAAACCCAAAAGCAAACAAAAATCAAACAAAACCCCCCCAAAAGCCGAAAAGAAATCAAACACAAAACAAAACAAGACAACACAAACAACAATCAAACAAAAGCCACAAAAAGCCAAAAAATCAAACAACAGCCACCAAGCAAAACAAAAATCAATCAAAAGCCCCACAAAAGCAAACAAAATCCCCCAAAAGAAAAAATAATCAAACAAAAGCCCCAAGAAGCCAAACAAGACAAACAAAATCCCCCAAAAGCCACAAAAAAAACAATCCCCCAACAACAGCAAACGAAAGTCGCCAAAAGCGGGAGAAACAAAAATAAAGAAAAAGAAAACCAAAACGAATGCCGAAAAAAAAAAGCCCCACAAAAGCAATCAAATGCCCCCAAAATCCTCCAAAAAAAAACAAAAAAGGCCCCCAAAAGCCGAAAAAAATCAAACAAAAAACAAAGTCCCCCTAAAGGAAAAAAAAAAGAATGCCACAGCAAGAACGGAAAAAAACAAACAAACAGCGCCACAAAAGCAAACAAAAGCCCCCCAAAAGAAAAACAAAAAACAAAAAACTCAAACAAACGCCCCAAAAAGCCCCCAAAAGGCAAAGAAATGCCCCAAGAAGCCCGCAAGAAATGCCCCAAAGTTCGGCTCCTCCACTATGGCGCCCGTGCTGAGCCTCTCCGCCAGCTGCTCGCTGCCGGTGCCCTGCCCGGCCCGCACCAGGATGCCGCCCTTGTCGGCGCCCCCCACCACCTGCCGCTCGCTGGCGGCGTTGGATCTCCAAATTTTGGAGACCAAGTGTAAGTGAGTCACAATCAAAACCTGGTATCAAAATGATTGACCCTGCGCAACTATTTATGGCCGGGATCGCCCCTCACTAACCTTCATCTACCCGAGTTTTAACTGTCACTCAAGTGCAATTCAGCGGGGATCCGCAAAAGATGAATTGGACCACCCCCCCCACACAAAAAAAAGGAAATGTCTTTTTGGCCTCCCTTGAAACCAAGGTGACAACGCTACACAAAACAGCGGCAACAAAGGTAGCTTCCTTCTCGCTTCCCTGCAATGCAACCCCAAAACGCACTCTCCACATTGTCAACAATTGGATTTGGATTTGCGAGGGTGTCCTTTTGGTCTCAAAAGGAACCCCAGGTGAAAACGATACACCAAAAGACCCATACGCACAAAAAAAAATGAGCCTGACGGCGCTTTTGTCATCCAAAACTCATGATTTGTGTCCAACAACCATGCTTGAGGTCTTCCCCATTTACAAAAAAAGGAACCCTCGCAACGGATTTCTCCCACGTCGCTTCCATTTGTAACCGCATACCTCCCAAAAAACCGATGGGCGTGATCCCACCTCCCACTGCACCATCGGATCGCGGGCGCGTGGATCCGTGGAGGTGTGGTGGTGTTGGTCCGTGTTTATCGGGGTGATGGAGCCCCAGTTGGGAGCCCCGGTTGGAAAACCGTCTTCCAGGATGGTCAAACGATTTTGTGGTAGGCTGCTGTGGTCAGCCAGTCTGCCACATCTGATTGCGCACATCTTTGTTGGCCTTTGCTTCGTGCATCGCTTGTCACTCCGGATATGGGATGCCACATGTGCATGTTCCATGCTGCTTTGGAAATGCAAGCTTCCGGCATCGCACATGATGGGAATCTCTTCCCCTTTTCCCACGAATCACGGAAGTGCGCAACAAGGGGTTCTGGAAGACCTCCGTCTTACAGGTTTGTGCCCGTCTCCGAAGCACCAACTCAGATGCCAGCTCAAACTCCAGCCCCACATGCCCAATGTGTCTAGCCGAGCCCAAGTAGGTTGGTCTCTAAGATGAAACCCCTAAAGTGCAAGGCCCTTCACAAATAGTACCCCAAACGAAGAACACGCACAACTCTCCAAGAAGGCTTCCCCTACCAACCACCGTACCCTGCTTGGGAAAATGAGCATACCCCTAAAGATCATGGTTGCATCGGCTAAAGTCACTGGAGTGATTCGGTTTTTTTTTTTTGAGAGACCCTCTTGCAGCGGCATTCCTTTTCTCGGACGGTCAAACACGCAGAACGTCTCCAGGTGGTCCTGGCTGGTTCGGAAGGTGTGGTATCCATTTAAAGCCACCCCAAAACTCGGAGAAGAAAAAAAAACTCGGGGGGGGGGGGGGAACAATTGGCCCCTCGAGGAAAGTGATCCGAACCAACGTTCCACGTTCCACGGGAGAGCTTTAGTCCTCAAAAGGGATTTCTTGGGGCCGCTGCTGTGGCTGTTGGTCGGTAAACACCGGGTTGATGAACCAGGGCGGTGCAACCCATTTTGCCGAATATCCGGACTACTGGAAAGACCCCCCCCCATGAATCTGACAGGATCATCAATCAGCGAAAGACAGCAGGAACATGTGCTGAAAGAACATCTATCCGAAAGTCCTAGAATCTGTCCAATGCAAAGGACTTCATTACATCATGGGAGCTCGCTTTACGAGATGAGCTCGCCGAAAAATGTCTTGCCACTGTGGAACCAGCGACCCATCGCTCCGAATCTCTTGAACCTCTGCAAGGTTTTGCAGACGCTTGGGCAGTCCGACCCAGGGAAGAGCATGAAGCCCTCGGCATGCGAAACCTGAGTGCGGCAAACATTCTATCACGTGTGCGTGTATGTTTGTTCACGTGTAACATGGTCAGTCTTGCATGTTCCTGTATATTCGTACAAACCTGGTTGCAACTCAGGCTTATTATGTGTGCCATGTATGTCATGTGATAAGTTATGTATGCTATGTGTAGTCATGTCACATATACATCATGCCACACTTGACATGTGGCCCCATTTGACATGTCAAAAAATTCGGGTACCCCAAAAATGGGTGGGTATTCTTTGGGATTGCCTTTAAAATGTAAACCCCATGTTCGTTACAACAGGTAGAGCCTGGGAACCCAATCAACAAAACAAACGCTGCATGCCAGCTTTGGAGCTGCAAGGAAGGGAGGGTAGCTGGATCAGCTTCCAGGGACCCAGATGCTACTGTGGATGGACGGATTCCTGCACCACTTTCAAAGGATGGGAAGCCAGCGTTGGTTGGTTTCCTAGGGGCGAAACGGATTTTGAACATCCACAGCGTGACAGCCACTGGCCACAGCCACTTCCTTCCATCCCACTGGGCTGCCCCGCGGCCCACTTGGCCTCCAGAAGCCTCTCCGCGTCCCGGCGGAAGGCCGGGAATCCGCAGCTCACGTAGATCACCCGCCCCAGCCGGCCGTGCCGCCTCGCGCCGGATGCTGGAGAAAACCGCGTTGGGGGGGGGGGGGGGAGGAGAGGGTGGGTTGGGGGGTTGGGGAACCAAAGAACACAGAAAGTTCAGAGAGACTTTCGTCCTTTTCTTTTTTTGGTGGGGGGGGTTGAAGGCGGGAACGTTGTTGGGGAACCAAGGGAGGAGACAACCCTGTGGTGAGAATGAGCATTGAAAAAACACCTCTAATTCCCAAAGCAGTGCAAGGAGCGAAGCCAAACGCGAAGGTGTGTCTCAGAATAGCCCCCATCTTGAAATCGTTCGGGGAAACCAAAAGCGAGCAAGTCACAGAGAAGGGGGCCCTTTACATCCAGTCCTACCCGCGAGTGGCTTGCATCTTGGCAGGCGGCTGAAGGGCGTCGATGACGGCATCATCCAAGCCCCTAGGTGAACACTGGTGTCAACACTGAAGCACGTGAGCGATCAAGCGTGCTTGCTGTGAACATGAGACAAGTCGGGTGTTTCCCCCCGGTTTTGACGACATTGAATGAGTCCCCCAGACGCTTTGAGGTTTTGACCGAACCTTACGATGTTGCATTGGTCCAGGACCCTCCTGGGTTTCGGTATCCCTTCGCCTTCCCGTCAACAACCCCCCCCCCCGCTGCAGCTCATCGCTGGGGCTCGTACTTCCGCGGCGGATCTACAATCACCACGTCTGCGCAGGATAGGCTGTCAACCTCACAATTCGCGCGAATGCCGGGCAAGCCGCGAGGACATCGATTCGGCCTCACACCCGCCTGAGATGCTGCATCGCCGGGGACGTAGCTCAGCCGCTGCCTGCCGGCACAAATTCAGACCGCTACTCAAGAGCGGTGCGCGCATAAGAGGTCCTTTCTCAAGAGAAGTTGCAGCCGGGACTTTTTGCGACCAAATGCTGCAATCCCTCACTTGGCCGCTTGTCTCGCCGGTCGATCAAGGACCTATGCTCGAGGCTTGAATTCTCATGCTCCCCATCTGGGACCCTTGTGGCCCCCAAAGCTCACATGCCCGAGCTGGCGGGTGAGCTGAGAGTCTCCTCCATCCAAGGATTGGAAATCTATTGAACAACCAGACCCTCAGCTCCAGTTTGTTGAAACCAGGGTGGTTCAAAAAAACGGACTTGAATCGCGCGCAACCCTGGCGCCTGCAAACACCGGCCAAAGCCAGCGCTTCAACTCACACGGCTCCATCACCGAGCCCAAGCAGGTGGGCCCCAAGTTGGAGAAACCGGATGGGTTCCAACAGAATTGTCGGACAAAGCCGCTGGCTCCCGTTTGGTTTCCCAAACTAAGTGAGGGGACCACACAGTCGATAGAGGTGCGTCATCATGGTCACCAGCGCAGCCAGGAGTGGCAGGAACGTGGCCAGGTCCCTTGGCATCGAGAACGTGAGGTGGACCAGGTGGCTATGAATTTTCATGGGGAACCCCGTTGGTGGACATAATCCCCACCTACATGATGTCCAAAGGGACCCCAATTAAAAGTTCATAGCCTTGCGGCGGTTGATCAAAAGGTCTGTTTGAATGGGTTCGAACAAACAGTTTTAGTATGCAAACATGATTATCGTTTGGCTGGGGTCGCCAGGAATGCACGTTGTATGCGGGGAGACAAACTTCCTTGCCGCAAAATTTACGACTTCAATATTTGTCCTGCCTTTCTGGGATAGTGCCATGAAATGCAAGAAGCCACAGCTTATGCCACTTGTACAGCCTATGTAAACGTCTCAAATCAATTGCACGTGCGCTATACAACGAGCCAGGTTGAATTCGCAACAGACTGCAATTGGTTGAACACACACACACCCTCCCCCCTCCCCCGCAAACAAAACACTGGGCGTCTCTCCTTGGTTGCCCCTTGCGAAAACAACAACACGGGTCTTTGCACGGTGTTGCTTACTCAAAGGCAGCTACACGGACTGCACTGGCACATCAGTCAGAGCAGGTGCTCTCACAAATGTTGCTCATTTGAGCAGCCAAAACCCCGTGACGCTGGGTTCTACCAAGCGTACCTACTCAGTTCTACCAAGCGTAACTACTCAGATTGATATGGGTGTTTCTCAAAATCGTGATGCTCCAACATGGCCGGTCTTTGAGCACCCAAGAGCAGGCCCACCTAGCTTTCCCCAAGAGGACATGGGAGAATTCGGGCTTGTGCCCTGGCGTTTGTTGGGAAATTTCGTGAGTCTCCGCCCCCCAGTTTTCCTCCCAAACGAACGCCGATCCAACCTCCCGAGCCTGGCGTTCGCCGCCCGGCGCTGATGCCCCGCAGCGACCGCCAGTTCCGCTCTTCGGCCTCGGCTTGGGCGAGACCTGCTCCAATAAGTTCACGAGGGTGTTGGGTTCAGGTCAAGCGCTACCTGTTGCTGGCTTGGGGAGTGAAGCTATGAATAGCTAACAGGGGCCACACCATGTTTCAAGCCACGGGTAACCATGTTACATGATAATGAGGCCACCCTTCGTTCCGGCTTCCACAAGCCACGTCCCCCACGCACGGCGCGCGCGCGCGCGCGCGCGGGCCGCGCCTTCCGTGCTTGCGCCCCAGGCGCAGCCGCGCGCTTTGGCCCTCAGAAACTCAGCGCGCCAGCCGCACCTCTCCGCGTCCAGCTCCAAATCTTCGGCCTCTGAAACCGGGGCGAAGGCAGGAAGGGGAGAGGGGAGGGGGGTTAACTGCAGCCGGGTTGAGTTGGTCCCCAGAAATGTGGGCACTGCTCAATTCCGGTTTGGGCGGCTGTCTTTTGGTCCCTGTCCTTAAACCTGTTGCGGAGATTGAGTATAAAGTTACGCCCTCGCCGCCGGCAACTCAAATGGAGGCTGGCTCCACAGCGCGTTCAACATGTTACAAGGCTTACAAGGGCTATCGCCCAACCCTGCTGACTGCCAAGCAGTACAAACATAGGCACCCGCAACGGGTCGCTGCGCCCAACGAGGCCATATCCTTCCGCGTTGCCATCGAACCAGTCAGAATTCATGGTTCAGGCTGAAGTTCTCCCGGTTGCCCCAGGCTGACACACCCCCACTAAGTCACCAGGTCTGATAATCCCGCCCCCTCCCCCTCCCCCCCCCCCCCGCCGTTAAACGCCAAACAAAAAAACGGGGGGGGGGGGGGGAAAAAGAGAAAAAAAGCACAGAGAGTCATGGCTTCATCTTCCCGAGCCTTTTTCGTTTCGCAGCCTGCCAGAAGCCAGGCTGCCAGACAGATTTTCATTTCACCCCTCTGAACTTCTGACAATAAATCTCTACGGCGAGAAGAAAAAGCTCAGATGCCTGCTCCCTCAGCTGCTCGGCGCGCTGCTCACGGAGGTTCACCAGCTCCTCCGTGAACTCGTGAGATGCTCAGATATGTCTCAAAGGGAGCCCCTTTTGGATGGGTCAAAGGGAAGCCACAAGACGCCAGAAGGCGCCAAACCCGTTTTGGTCCGCTATATTGAAGCACAAATGGAGGCTGCGCCCGTTGCTAGGTCCGCCCAACGTCTGAAAACGCGCTCGAGTAAGGCACTCTGTTGTTACTCGAACTGACTCAGTTTGCACATCTCAAGCACTCAGCATGTCAGGTGCAGGCGCCTCCTTCCTTGGAGCTAGAAGTGCATGTGGGTGTTCAACTCACATGAGGACCCTTCTGGATTGAAATTGTCCGAAAGTTAAGGGCAAGTTACCCATTTGCCATAGCTAACCCTTTTTCATGCCATTGTGCACGGTTCCAATATCAAGGCTCCATCAAGATTGGTTTGTGATGAAAATCTGTGGTTTGGGAAAGGAGGCACTCTTGGTCGTATGCGTGGAGCACCGTCGAATGCCTAGAGCGCCGTCGTATGCATGGAGCCCGATCGTATACTTGGAGTATGCGTGGAGCATGTTTGTGTGCGTGGAGCACGGTCGTATGCGTGGAGCATGGTCGTATGCATGGAGCACGGTCGTTTGTGCGCAGCATGGTCGCATGCGTGGAGCCGGGTCGTATACGCGGAGCTCGGTCCACGACGTATGCGTAGAGCACGATCGTATGCGTGGAGCATGGTCGTATGTCTGCAACACGGAGCACGGTCGTATGCATGGAGTGCGGTCGTATGTGTGGACCGCCAAATTACACATTAGCTTTCGTTTTCACATACAACCGTCTCCACATCACTTCTAAACGTAGCAACTTTGTTTCCCGTCCACTCGCCAAAACAGACGTATTAGGAACAATGAGGCATGGTCGTACGCGTGGAGCAAAATCGTATGCGTGGAGCACGGTCATATGCGTGGAGCACAGTCATATGCGTGGAGCACGGTCATATGCGTGGAGCACAGTCGCATGCGTGGAGCACTTTCACGTGCGTCCACAGTAGTGTGCGTGGAGCGCGGTATATGCACGGAGCACAGTCGTATGTGCGATGACCCATGCGGTGGCCCGGCCAGAAATCGTGACAAGAGTAAAAGCCGTGCGCTTTAAAACAAAACAATGGAAATGCCACCGTGATGACATTTTCCCAGGTATGAAGAACCGTGAAACACGTGGTATGCAAATGTTTCGGGAGATTGGGAACTCGCCATTGGAGAAAGGGTCAAAAGGGTATCTTGTTTCGAACTTGTTTGAATCTTTTCGCCAGGAACAAAAAGAAGACCACACCAAAATGGCTTCCCCAATGCGAAGCAAACCCAACAAGGGAGGTGCTCCAACTTTGAGACTACCACAAAATGGGGGCAACCCCCAACATGACAAACCCATACCTGGGGTTTGACCCGGGCCCTCATTTGGGTCTGCGCCAAAATAGAAATCAAACCAACCTCGACAAGGGTACTCTCTAAAAACAAGCGACACACGTGGTTCTCCTTTGGTTGCCGTGCAAAACAATGCCCTTTCTGTAATCTGCTGGACCTCAGTTTGGGACTTTTTATCACCCTTTTTCCGGATGGTGTTAAAGGGGAACACCAAAATGAAACCAACCACCTGAAGTCACCATTTTTTTCAGGAACACCCAGTTCTGCACCCCTTCCGTTGAGAGACTTGCCATCCGTGCGCTGAGCCTCTCCTTCCACCTTTGCAGCTTCAACTTGAGCTCCTCTACCTCCGTCATCTCCTCGCACTGCCGGCGCAGCCTGCCAAGGGAAGCAGACCCGGAGGAGTCAACAAAAAAGACTTGCAAGCTTCGCTTGTAGACACATATGTGTAAATACAAAATACATAATATGTGTACGTATATACACATATGCATATGTAGGTGCACATACATAACACTTTTATGCATGTGCATATGTATGTATATAGTTTATGTAAATACGAAATATATGCGCACTGAGCAGGATCCCCGGTCCCGGTTTTGGTAAGATCCGGGCGCGCTCAAATCCACCTCCATCTCTTCCTTCTCTGCGCGCTGCTGCCTCACTGCTCGCCTCGAAACAGCAAGACGTCGCAAGGAAAGGCTGTGGCTCAAAACAATGTACCAATATGGTGCCTCTGCACATGGAACCAACTAAACCCGCGTAACCCTGGGTCTTTCATTTTCAGCGACACCCAATTGGCGACCGGAAGCCCCTTCAAACAATAGGAGTGAGCACACCTGAGATCCGCGGAAACCAACCTGGACAGCTCCGACCGACATTCTGGCCCATTGCGCAAACTCCGAGTTTTGGGCGTCCGCCGCAAGTATCAGTCCACATACGTCGTTCTCCCTCCCCAAAAAAAGCCAAGGGAGTAAGGAGTGCCACCTGAGTCAAAATCAAAACCCGGTATTAAAATGGTCTACCCAGAACCATGTAAAGAAATAAGAAGGCGGCCGCAGCTATTTATGGCTAGGATTGTCCCTTACTAACCTTCATCTACCCGGGTTTTGATTGTGGCTCACCTGACGTCATCTGCCCCACAACGTGCCAAAACGCTTGGGCAGTTGCGCGGATAACTCGAGGCAACCGGCCCAAAGGTCACCGGCTACGCGCCTCAATGCGCTCAGCTCCTCCTCTGCTACCCTTACCTCTTCAATAAGCTGCCACTCCTGCGCTGACCACATTGGTGAAGGAATTCGAGGCCGCAAGAGGACCAGGAAACCAATCCCAGGGCTGTCCGGAAAAAAAGGGGGGGGGGGGGGGAAAACGGCTGTCTGAACAACGCCGCGGGGCTGGCAGTTCCAGTTCAAGGGGTTTGTTTGTTGCGTTTGGAGTACCCCTCGCAATGCGACTCGAAGGGAGTACCCCTCAAAAAGACGCACCATAAAAGAGCTCCAGACGCTCGATGTCGGCAACCATTAGAAACTCGCGGGCCTGAAGGGAATTATCAATTCACAAGAACTAGGGAAGACAACATCCTCCACACTGGCAGAACATAGATAACGTTTGTACCCGCTTCGCTCAAGTAGAAGTTGTGTCAGCTCTGCTTGACCGCCAAACAAAACAACTCATCCTCATCGACTTCTAGCGGATCGAGCTCAAGCTGCAAACCCCATCCTGGAGCCTCATCTGCATTATTGTTGCGCTCAGCGAATTGCACTCAGCTGCAAGACGAGACTCCTGAGAGAGCCGGCACGGCGATGGCGTGAAACTCACTGGCCAGCATCTGTCCAAGAGCACTTCCACGAACCCCAAACCACTGCCACAAGTGAAAAACGTCTAAAGCCTTTATATCTTGTCTATGGAGTGGTTGTACACCCGCATGTTTTCCTTGGAGGGGGTAGGAAGCTATCTTAGAACCAGGGATTCTGGAAGATGAGCTTCTTCTTACAGGGCCCGCGGCCAGGTGCTATGTTGTTGGGAGGGAGTCTCGATATGAGCCACGGACTACTTGTTCCAAGGGACCATGGTTGGAGATTCATCAGTTCCTGCTCATCCCCAAAATGACCCAGAGGCAAATGAGTGTGGCTCAAAACTACCCAGGAGGGGCAAACCGCAGGTTTCGGTCCATTCCACTTACCTACCAGGGCACCCCATTTGGCGGGGCCCGTCCTTCATCTCCCCCCGCTGCAGCTCTCGCTTCCTCTCCAGCAGCACGCCCGCCACCCGCTGGCTCAGCGCCTTCCTGGAGTGCGCCTGCGCCTCCTCCTCAGAGAAGCCGAAACACCAAAGGTGCCCGGAAAAGGGGGGGGAGGTGAGAGCACGGCTACCACCTGTGTATTGCCTCCAACAGGGCACCAGCTAAACACACACACAAATCCATTGTCGAGGAGGGGTTGTAACCACGACTGGCAATGAAATCTAAAACCGCGCCAAAACTTTAGCACAACCCCGACAAAAAAAAAAGCTCGACAAAGCACGTTTTTGGCCCAATCGCATTGGATCTGCACATTCTGAGTTAGACGGCCTTCTTGACTAGGAAACGACAGTCTCGGTACTAATCAGCGATTTGGGCGCTGGATCTGTGGATTTTGGGTCAAACGACAAACGACCGTTTGACTACGAAAACGACGATTCGGGCGCTGGATCTGTAGATTTTGAGTCAAACGACCGTTTTGACTAGGAAAACGCGATTTGGGCGCTGGATCTCCGTTTTGACTAGGAACACGCGATTTGGGCGCTGGATTGTGGATTTGAAACGCGATTTGGGCGCTGGAGCTGTCGAGTTTGAGTCAAACGGCCGTTTGACTAGGAAAACGCGATTTGGGCGCTGGGAAAAACCTGAATAGACAGATCTGTCATGGAAAACCTGAAAAGACGTGCTGTCGGGATGGACAATTAAAAATTGTCAGTGTTTATATGTTGTCTGGTCGTTGTTCCACAATATCTGTCATTGTTACGACTCCTCCTGCACCTTGTCGCAAGACTCAATCAAAGAGCCCGGCAAACCTTCCCCCACCCGCAAAGTCAACACAAACTGCACGCGACCGGCCTGCAAAGCAATGACTCTCGCCTGAGCATCTTGCCAGTCCTCCTAGCAACGGTCAGATCGAATGCAAGAGCCAACCATCCGATCATCAGAGCCCGTCCTTGTCTTCCCTGGCTTCATCGATGTCCGCCTTCACTAGCTTGCCCCACGGCATATCCTAGCATGCAACGCGAATCTGAGCTTCCGGACAGATGTCTGCAACTGGCCTTCTGGCAGAAGGTCATCTGGACTCCAATGATGCCGCGGTCTCCATGCAATGCACAAAATAAGGGAGTAGATTTGCCTGAACACTTTGTGCAAGCTCTAACAAAGAAATGGGTGTGTGGCTGCCTGTCTAAGAATGCACGGGCGTCGGAGCTATGAGCCAAACAAGCGAAACCGGCGGTCAATGGCCGACCTGTGTGTTTGGTGTTTGGTTCCTGCAAGACCCACCAAAAGCCAAGGAATGAAGGTATTCACCCTAAAAATGGTTCTTCCAAAACCCCTGTCAGGTTTCATGTTGATTGGTGGGAGGGTGCTCTGACTCAGTCCACTTTCTTCGATTGACTGTGGGTGGTTCGCTGCTGAACACCGCAAGCCGCATCATAGGCACCGTCCAATACTCGGGCGTCCGTCCCCAACTCTGGGAACTTGAGTGGGCCACAGCTCCCACGAAGAAGGCCCCGGCATTTCCCAGAACAGCGGCCCACCAAGATGGATCTCTGTTTTTGTTTTTGGTTTCCCTGTACCCAGCAACCAGCTCGGGTGGCCCCCCAAAAAAAAAAAACACGCCCACATGTTTCAACCCACGCCTGAGCTCCTCGGGCAGCCCTTTCGCGCCTCGGGATCCAAAGGGAGGCGGGGACAAAAAAAGAGGAAGCCCTCCCCCCCCGGCTCAGCCCTTTCCTTTTTTAAATAGATTTAAGGTGGGATTCATGAGGGAACACCATGAAACTCCTTTAGTTTAAGGTGCCCCTTGAGGTAGGGTTTTAAAAAAAAAAAACTCATGAAAGTTTGAGGGAAAGAGGCTTCCCCGGCTCAAGGAAAATTCGGCCGACGTCGGCTCCGGAACGCCTATCCTGAGCACCTCGCTGCGCCGGAAGCAGAGGCGGTTGTGAGGATTCTCATCGCTGCACACCAGCGCACCTGGCAAAGCCCCCAAGCTATCGATCCTCTTCATTCATGGGGGGCTAAGGAGGGGCTATCCCTAGAGCTTACCCTAGGGCTGGGTTCAAGAGAGCCCTTGTGCGAGAACCAACGCCTTGAGGTCGCGATACTTTGTGCCAAGCCATCGACATGCCAAGCCATGCCAAGCCATGCCAGCAACACTGACAAGGTCTGCCAGATGCAGGCCTCCAGATCGCCGAAATGGATGCGGGGCAACCACCCAACCAGGCAAACAGGTCCACAAGAAACATGCCTATCCGTCCCAGTAAGTATGACGCCGGTGAAACACAAAGGAACACCAAGCACCGCTTTTGTACGCACTCATGGCGGCTGTCTTAGGCGCTTGCCAATCGTACCAACGCCACCGTAGAGCTCCTCAGTGCTAAATGTCGAGCCTTCCCTGAAATTTCACCAAAGATCGCAACTTTAGCCACATCGCTCTAAGTTTTATGAACCCCTCCGTGGTTGCTGGACCCCCAAATGGTGTTCACCCTTTGAGGTCCAAAAGATGCAAGCAAATTCACACCCACCCCAACAAACCAATTTGGGGCCGCACCCAAGGCTCGATTTCTGCATTGGCTCGCAAAGCCCCAGAGCAACCGTGTTCAATGCCCAAAAGGGTAGGTAGCAACATAGAGGACCTGCACAATGGCTTCGGTTCTCCTTTTAGTTTCCCCTCACAAAAAAAAAAGTGAGCCCCGAAAAAATGCCCGAAACTGGGTCCATTGAAGCGACGTCAAATGACTCATGGTTTGGGAGAACAACCCACCCCACCCAAACAACAATCACACACATGTTCACTCGGGTGGAAAAAGTCTCTGAATGGGTGACCCTCGCAGATCATTTCAGGGAGAAACATGATTCACATCACCCACCACGTAGGACCACGTTTCCGACTCGGTCGAACCTGAGATTTGGACATGGGTCAAAGTTTAGCCACCAGGGGTACCAGGGTTCCGATTTGGCTACCGATTTTTGACAACCACGGCCATTTCGAGCGTCCACCACGGCGCTGTCTTTGGGCACGAAGCGCCGCACCGCCGCCACGATCTCTTCGAAGGCGCAGAGGTTGGCTTGACCTGAGAGACGTGGCGTCGCATCGGAAACGCATGCTGCTGGGGTCCGTGGATGGAGGAAATCCGTCTGCAGCCTAGAAACCCATGTTTGTTCGTACAGAGGAATCATCAGAAACCAGGGTTTCTTGCTCCTGATTGCTGAGTTTTTCCTGCCCCAGCTTAGCATTGCAGAGGGACTGGAGCAACACCGCGGCTTGCTAGAAGGTGCAGGATTGTGTCCATCCTCGGTAGCAGGCTTCACCTGGGAAAAAAATCCAAGGTCGTATATGTTGAGCGCACAGCACATTTTGTTAAACATGAGGGAACCACGGAAGTTTCCCTTTGAATTCCTTCTAAACTACCCAACAAAAAGGAAACTCAAAGTCAAGACGCGCCGTTGTTGGCACCTGAGGGACGCAGAGTGCCAACTGCTGGTCATAACCTTTCTCAACGCCACCCCTAATTGTTCAAATCCGCGATTTGTGTCGACAAAGCGGTTCAAACTAAACAGCCATCTATCTCCAAAAGATCGTAAGGTGTGCGCGTGTTAGCCACGCCGAATGCTTCATGTTTTGCATGGCCCGCGCCTCCTTGCGCCCCTTCCAACCCACGGGAGCCTTTTTCGCCGGGCGACGGAAGACGAAGGGCGGGAAGCACAGCTTGGGCTGCAGCGGCAGCGACAGCAGCTGCTCCCGAAGGAAGTTCTTGTTCCCCGCAAGCTGCACCCACGACTGCGACGCGTAAGGCGTAGGTTTGGACTTGCTGTTGCTGCTGGTGTTGCTCTTATCTGTTGCTGCTATTGATTGAATGTACTGTTCTTGCCCTTGTTCTTTTTCTTGTCGCTGTTGCTGTTGATGTTGCCTCTGGTTCTGCTGTTGCTGTTGCTGCTGCTGCCCCCGCCACTGCTGCTGCTGCTGCTGTGTTAATTGGGTGGTGTCAATGACTCTGAGCGCTCTCTCAGCTTAGTTTGCCTCCTGTCTGGCGGGTGAATTTTCCAAAGCCCGTCGAAACGGGCCAAGCGGAGTGCAGAACGTCAGCTTCCCCTTTGCCATGAGCCCGTCACTGCAGGCAAACCCGTCTGGAAAGCCGTGCCACCTGCCTACGTGCAACTGTCTTACGGCCCGCAGCCGAGAGCAAGCCTCTTCGTCGTAGGACAGGATGCGAGAGGTGTGCTTGTCTGCAGTGTTGAAGTTTGCCCATATAGCATACCACCTCAGGGCGCTGACGCAAATCGGGATTCCTGCAAATTCTGCACTGGTGATAACAGGGTTCGAGGGCCCCTTCCCTTCCTAGGAACCAAAAATGCACAACGACGACTGCGACGATGACGACCACCCTCACCACCACCACAACAACCACCACCCCACCTATGTTTGCCTTTTTGAAAGGACCCCCTCCCCCTGCTCCTGCTTCCCCTCTAGAGCGCTGCCATCTGCTGGCTAGGGAGTATCAAAGGGGACAGCCGCCATCTCTGGAGGTGGTGTTGACATCTCACAAGGGCATTGTGTGAATGAACACCTAGGGGAGCCGGTATGAACCACCAACTGGCACCCAGTGACTTTGTCCATCCGAACCCCCCGAACTCCCGCTCCCGAGCCCTGCCCCCCACCGAGCCTCGCCTCCCCAAACCCCAAACCCTGCACCCCACCCCGCACCCTGCCCCTGACCGCTTACTATTTTGCAACCTGTCTGTTTAGGATCTTGGTTTCCATATATTCTTTTGAAATTGACCATTTTATGCCGAGGCAATATGGCTTTGTCTCAAACTAGGGAAACGCAACAAGAAAAACGGCTTCCCTTTGGCTTCCTTTTAAAACCAACCAAACAAGGAAGAAAGACACACCCATAGAGTCACAATCAAAACCTGGTATTAAAAAAGGCCGGACAAGGCCAAATACAACTCACCTCCCCTCCCCTCACATGGCCACGGGTCGAAATCCAAATCGTACCCCCGGTGAACATCCCAATCCAACCACTAAAATAGGTTCTAAAATGGTGAATTCCCCAACCAACCCAAATCGGATCCCATAACGGTTTTGACAACCACAGCCACATCGGGTGGGCTGAACCCCCCCTCCCCCCCCCGCCCCCCGCGGTCCGCTCCGAGCGCCCGGCAGGTCCCGGCGCCGCAGCTGCGCCAGCAGCCGGGCCAGGGGCCGCCCCGCCGCCTGCTGGCTCGCCGCGCGCCAGACCAACGTGAGCTGCACCAGGCCGCTGGACCGCTGCCTCGAGGAATTCGACTCGAGGAGCGCGCCGAGCCGAGTCCAACGGCGGTCCGCCGACTCGAAAGAGAAAAAGATTGGGTGGGCGCTGCCTCGAAGCGGTGGGAGAAAAGTGGGCGGTGGCAAGAGAATGGAGACAACCATGGCTCACCCAGGTGGAGACTAACACGAAAAAATGCGTGAGTCTAGGTCTTTTGACTTTGAGCCATGCCCGAATGTCAGGCAGTCAGTCTGATCACATAGGTGTTGTTGGTGTCCATGTTTTCAGGGTGGCAGGTTGTTTTGTGTTTGCCGTAATCCCAACTGGTCATCCTTCGGTTGTATTGATCTTCAATGTGCGGGGTTGGAATGGTTGAGAGATGAAAGGGTGCAAAGGCTTAAAGTCAAACGAGATATTAGTATAAGGTCAAAAAGACAAGATATCGCGGCTGAAGGTCGAATGTGGCAAAGTGAACACGTTTAATGGTAGAATCAGAAGGTGAAAACGAAAGATGGGCCAAGACGGGAAACCCAAAAGGTCCAAACAGGTATGTGTCAAACCCAGGACTTCGGACCCCAAGGGATTTCGGCTTCCCACGGGCCTCACCTTAAACCAGCCCCAAGAAGGGTACCACCTCCCCAAAAACTCGCGCCAACAGAAGGGGCTGGGATTTGCCAAGCTGCACCTCCAGCTTCAGGTACCTCAGGTCGCCTGAGCTCCGAAGCGTTGTATGCCTCCCACCAAACAAAAGTAAACCAGCTTAGACCCCAAATGGCTGTGGCTGAAAAAAAAATGTACCAACATAGCACCAAACGGTAACTGCAAACAAAGGCTAACCCTAGCTCTTTCATTTTGAGCCACACCCAAATGCCATGGAGAGATTGCAACTTCGACCTGATCAGCACCCTGACTGCATCGCCAAACACACTGGCAACTGCCACGAAGCGCACAAACAGCACCCTGACCAGCACCTGCAGCAATCTGGTCTGATCTCGCAAAACAGGCTGCCCTCTGTAGAAGTAAGAACCCCTTCTAGCTTTCAGCTACCTTAACAACCAGTGATGGACAACAATCGGCTTTGCGCCTGGTTTATATCCCAATATGCGGAGTTTCGTCTATCCGGGCCACAGCATAAAGAAAGCGGCCCCGAGCGAATTTCCGAGACAGGCCTTCTCCTGTACTCTCGTCGTAGCCACGGAGCTTCGCGGACTTGCAGGCGGCCGAAATCGCCTGCCATTGGAAGGTCGGTCCCCTGAAATGGTTGGTGTCCTTTGGGAAAAAAAAGAGCACGCGAAACTCCGCTTGACCTCTGGGTTCTATGGACAGGGAGGAGTGTCTCGGACCTGGGGGACGGGGAAGCTTCCCGCGGGCTGGAGAGCCCCGACTTGGGGAAAACCCGGCTTCCCTTCTGTCCAAAAAAAAGCCAGCGTCTCGTATTGAGTTGCCACCCAAAAGCCGCATGTTGTGGGGACGTTGAGTTTGAACCGCGACCCAACAAAAAAGAAGCCGCGGGGAAAATCGGAAAGAATGGGTTGGTTGCGCAACCCGTGTTGACACAACTGTTGGGCTATTCTCCCCCCCCCCCCCATATCTTCTTCGGTTTCCAACGGGCAGGGCATGTAGCGTTCCCCGGCCCCGCCTCCAGCGCGGAGTTGATGGACGGATGGTGCGCCGCGCACCCGGCCACTGGCACCACGTCGTGGGACTTGGCCAGAAAGAGCCCGATCTCCACGCCCCCGCCTTCAAGAGGCGGGTGAAGTGAGGTAGGGTGAGGTGAACTGAGGCACAAACAAAACCTGATAAAGTCGGCTACACCTCCCCCAAAGAAAAAAAAACATGTGAAGAACTCAGAGGGCGGATAGCCGCACCCATTTTCTGACTGGGATTGTTCTTTACTACCCTTCCGAACTTCCACCCTGGTGTTGGATTGGGCTGGGGCGGGGTGGAAAACCGACCCCTTCCCAGAACAACCATGCTTACCCTCTTTCCAACACCTCTTCAAGAGAACTCCAAAACACTAAGCGGGTGTTCACTCCTTGCAAACCCCCAGGTCCCTTAAATTGAACACTTGGGGGAACCCGGTGGGATTCCTTTAAATCACCTGAGAGTTCATAATCCATCAACTCACTCAGTACAGGCCACTTTTTTGAGGGTTACCCCCCTGGAAACCACAATCTTGAGAGGAAGTGGAAAACATCAGCTGGTCGACTACCATGGGGGTCCCTCTCATTCGGATGTCACGTTGCCCCAGTCCCGAGACGCCTTTCCAGCATCCCCAGAATTGCTCACTTTCACTGATGCTTTTCCCTGGATGTCCACCACGTTCCAAAGCGAACCTTCGGGAACTAGTGACACAGTCCTGCAAATGGGACCCTTGAACGGAAACTCGCTTTGCATCGGCAACCGCAAAACATGGAGCCTCTTCTGAAACTCTGTTTCGGTACCCACAAAGGGACCAAGCCTCGAAACACTCGACGCCGGAAGTCGACTTCCCCACCTGAACAGGCGCGCACCGCCAGCTTGGCAGAGGAGCGCCAGCCTGCGAATGGAAGGAGCCAGGTTCCGGTGGCCCATGTGACATGGTCCCCATTTCGAAATGGACCCAACATGAGGCCTTGTCCTGCCTGCATCAAGAGCGCAGTCTTGGCCAACGCAGAAGGCTTGAGTCGGCCGCTCGAATCAGCTTTAAAATTCCAAGGAAGCTGAACCTGGCAAATGAACCAGTGCGTTTACTCGGACCTCTTCGAAGCTGGGATTCTCTGGTGTTTTTTCCATCAGGACAACCTCTTGGAAACCGCCGGACCAAACCCTTTGTTTCAGGACCGCGTTTTGCAACACCCGAACACCCGCGACTCACCCCCATCCCACCAGACTTCTCTCCGCAACCCCCAGGCGCAACAAGTCCGCTCGGAACCCCCCACGCGCGGCGCCGCCTTTCAGCGGCCCCAGGCGCAGCGGCAGAGGATGGCCCAGGGCCCCGAAGAAGCCTTCGGCGCTCTTCACCACCGGCGCCGCCAGCGGCGCCTCGATGTACACCTCGCTCGCGGCGGAAGCTCGCTGCGAAAGCTGACCGAGCCACCGAAGCGCTGCCAAGTCCCCAAGTTCCAAACAAAACCAGCTGGGCTTGGTGTTCGGCCAGGGAGTGAAGGACAAGTTCGGACTTGAAGTTGTCAAAAGGAAATATGCGGTTCGGGGTTGAAAGAAAAGCTTGGTTGGTAGTCCAGCTATCCGTGGCATTCAGGAGAAGCTTAAAAGGCAAAAGCAATGAACTGAAGCAGTCAAAAGACCTCAGAGGGCATGGAGCAACCGGCGTGACATGCCCTTTCAGCTCGGATGCCATGGAGAAGAAGCGAAGCACGAAAACGCAGCCTTCGATAGGTTTCGCCAAGTGAAGCTTAAGCCCAAAAGCTTGTCTTTTGGAGAAATCAACCACCTCAAGTATACTTTGGGGTAGTCAAAAACTGGAGCTCGAGGAGGAGAACTTGCTAGCAAAAAGAGTGCGAACTTGGACGCAATTTCGATTCTCAACCAACACTGCGCATAGCAATGGTCAGGTAGTCTGGTTTGCCTTCTTGGGGATTACCCCACGGGTGGTTTCCTCTTGGTCGTTGTTTTTCACCAAGCACCCGCAAAGAGGTGCCCGTATTTCATCCCTAACACGGATCGTGCGGGTCTGAGCTCCCTCTGCCCGGTCCAAAGCACCCCACCGCCCCAACAGAAATGTTTGCCTTTTCACTAGTCCACCACGGGCACCTCATGGTGGGCAGGCATTGTGAGGGAGGGCTCAAAATCACTTCTGGGGGAAGTTGCCCTTGGCAGTTGATATTTCTCCAATTGAGGGGAAGCCCCAAAATGGTGTGGCCCTGTTTTGGTTCTTCGGAACAAGCAAACAAAACGAGGTTCCCAAAAAATGGCATATATTATATACTGTATACTCATTTAGAGGGACGAGCTGAGGCGTCAGCCAGCGAAGGGTCGATCAAGCGGGACTGCTGCTTCGTGCGCTTCTTGGCGGCGCGCTTCCTTCGCAACGCGACGGTTCGAGGTGGCACGACTCGTCTGAGGGTTGGCTGGTCAAAAAGCACCGCCCCGATTTGGGACGTTGCGAACAAATGACCGGAACAAATGCAGTATGGACCCCAGCGTTGTTCTTTAGCCACCAAGTTTGGTTTTGGTTGCGGCTTGAGTTAGAATCATCCCCACTTAGCCCCCTTGGCGCAGGGATTTCCCTCCCGCGAATGCAAGCAGCTTGCTGATGGACTGACTGCCCACATTGGGAGCACATATTGAAGCAAATGCCCCCAAATCTGTCTTGCGTCCGGACTCGCTGGACCCCACAAAGGCCCACTACTGTGTCACGCGGTGTGTTTATGGGACCCATTTGGTGGGCATCATTTGCACGTTTCTTGCCAAGCACTAGGATCTTCCCCATCAGTCACGGGTCCCGCAAGAAATGGTGGAGCCCTGGAGCTGAGTTGGTTCCTTTCGTTTTCCCTGCAAAAAAAAACCTGTGGCTTAAGAGAGACACACCCTGTGCCTGGCATTCCGGAGCTGTGTGGGCGTGAGCGTCTCATCTCGCTTGCGCTTCATGCCATGGTCCGAAAAAGCCGAAAGCCCGACCGAAGGCTCAGAAACAGAGGTCTCTTCAAATAAGTGGTTCAAAATTAGGCAGCTAGGGTTACGAAGGTTTTAGTCCTTGGTTCCATTTACCGTTTAATGCCATTTTGGTACATATATTTTGAGCCGCAGCTGAATAAGGCTATAAGGCTATAAGGGAATCCCAAAAACAGACGGCGACTTCTCATTGTCCCTTTGGTGCTCCCTTTGCTCTCTTTCCGTTTCTTCACCCTTGATTTCGCCTGTGGTTTCCGCTTGGCTTCTCCCATGAAATCGACCCCAAAACGCGTACCTACGCGCACATGTGCCAACTTTCAGCTCTCCGGTGTGGTTGCGAGGCAGATTTGTCCGTGGTGCTTGGCTAAGGTGCCAAGACTGATGTTGCCAACTCTGCGACTTGCTAGGGGGCACTTCTGAGCCGACGGCAGGCAAGATGAATGCTCAAGCCTTCAAGTGCAGAAGCATGATTGCCCTTACGCCGGACACAGGCTTCGCAGTCTTTTCCTCAATCATCTGACTGCTTTGCCTCTGCCTCGGCCAGGTCAAATACTTACAAGAACATGAACATCAGTCATGCATTGCCATTCCTTGCGAAGACTTTTGCCAATGAGACCGCTTCGGCACATCCCACACGGATCGGCCGCCCCTTCCCGCGCCTGCCGCATTCGCCGGGAGCGGACGCGCTTCGCCTTCGGCGCCGGGACGGCCGGGACGGCCGGCACGGCCGCCGGAGGCGGCGCCGTCTTCGCCGGCGGCGGGGGGAGCCCCGCGCCTGAGGCCACCGGTGCCCCGTCTTGGCGTCGTTTTAAAGAGGAATGTTTGGGTTGGTGGTGCGATTGGGCAGGGAATGAGTTGGATGGAATGACCCTGATGAACCTTGTTGGTTGTGGTTTCCTTTTTTCGGGGGCCAAAGCTTGGGTTCCTTCCATTTCTCATTCCCTACCTATCTCACCAGCAAGAGATGGCCTGGACACCTTCTTTGTGCCCGGTGGTCTCAGCCGCAACTTTTGGGGAAAAAATCGAAGCCTCAGTGGGCCACCGGCTCCATTGGAGAGATGTGTCTGAGGGTGAGTATTTGAACTGCAAATGGTCATGGGATGTGAGCACTTGAACTGTCAAGTCTTGCGGGTCACCGCAATCTCCTGAAGATGTGTGTCGTCACGCCAGGCCTCTTTTGTCTCTTTTCTTCTTGGACTTCAAGCAGGCCAAAGGGTTTACTCCTGCCAAGGCGACTGTCACGCGCCTCTTGAGGCTTCCCCTTGAAAGGTGGGGGGTGTCATTCTTTTGAAGGTACCCCCCTGGGGTGGTTCTGAAGGAAACCAAAAGGAAACCAACCATGTTGGCGGTTCCCTGAAAGAAAAGGGAAAAGTCCAGGTTGGCTTGAAGGGAACCGATCTCGCCAGCTTTCAAGGTATCCCCAGTTGGAGACCACGTTGCCTTTGCAGAAACAAGAAAGCAGCGGAGGCCCAAAAACACGGGTGGCCGGACTTGCAGCTTCTTCCCTTCAAAACCAACCACGCCGTGGCTTAGCGACCACACCGGCGTTCCGCGTGGGCTCCTTTCTTCTTCTTCGCCTTCTTCGGCTTCTCGGCCAAAGCTTTTTCCCGCAGCTCCCGTGCCTCCGGAGGCAAAAAGCTGAGTGCCTTCCCCACCTCATCCCAAGATGTCCATGACCTCACCAAAGTCCCAAAACCCAACCCCTCTCTAACCTCTCCCCAGCCCTATGTACTCCATTTCCATCCATCCCCTCCCTTCCAGCAGGGCAAAATCCCATGCTTCAGCCAAACCATCCGACTCGAGTTAACCACGACGCCACACGTTTCCCAGCCCTTTTTCGGTTCCCCAACCACCTCGAAGCCATCCTCACTCCCCGCAAACCCCCATCGCTCCCCGCCTGCAGCTCCGGCAGCCGCCGCTTCTCCCAGCCCGCGGCCAGCTGCCGCTGCGTTTCCCGCGCCGCCGCGTCGCATTTCGCCGTGCGCGAGGGCTCCTCCAGCTTCGGCACCGGGCCGTCCAGCCTGGGCCGCGACTCGTTTGACGCGACGCTCGGCGACCGCGAATCCGCGAAACCGCGAAACCGCGAAACCGCGAAACCGCGAAACCGCGAAACCGCGAAACCGCGAAACTGCGAAACCGCGAAACCGCGCCCCCGAAAAAAAGATGGGGGAAAGCAAAAGACCGCGCGGAGGGGAAGGTCCACCCCAAAAAGCGCCAACAAAAAGCTCCCCTTAGGGATCCCAAGGGATCCCATTGGTTGACCCTAGCAGCTCCTCACCAGCACATGATGGGGATGTTTTTTGTTGAGGGTACCCCTGCTTGGTTGTCTCAAAGGGCACCAGAAGTTGGAAACCACCAAACCCAAATTGCTTCACCCCTGCCTTTTCAACTGCCTTCAGGTTTCAGCCACACAGCCCTGACAGGGGGCCTGATCAGCGGCACCCCAGGCACATCCCGCAGCAGATTCCGCAGCTCCGGGTCTTGGGTGGCCACCAGAAGCCTGGCTCCCCTATTTTTTTTGCATGGGTTTGCCTTTTCCTGGCTGATCCCCTGAGGAATGGTTCAGGTTCAACATGGGGAATCAAACCCGGATTCTTGTTTGCATGAGTTTGCCCTATTCCTGGCTAATCCCCTAAGGAATGGTTCAACATGGGGAATCAAACCCGGAATTGTTTTCCTGGCTGATCCCCAAAAAAGGAATGGTTCAACATGGGGAATCAAACCCGGAATTGTTTTTGCATGGGTTTGCCCTTTTCCTGCCTAATCCTAAGGAATGGTTCAACATGGGGAATCAAACCCGGATTTTGGTTTGCATGGGTTTGCCCTTTTCCCGGCTGATCCCCAAAAAGGAATGGTTCAATATGGGAAATCAACCCCATGTTTATTTGCATGGGTTTACCATTTTCCTGCCTAATCCCCTAAGGAATGGTTCACAGTGGGGAATCAAACCATTTTAGAAATCAAGAAGCGTCATCCCGTGACAGTGCACTTGTTCTCTAGCAAGGGCAAACGGGTGCCCAGTACATCGGGGTACCTGCGCACCATCTTCGGCCCCCTTTCCGCCTTGCAGGTGGCTTGTGCAGACACCTCGCACGCCCGCTCTCTCTCTCTCTCTACCTCTCTCTTCCCCCCACCTGCGCTCGTTGGCCTTACCAATCTGCTCCGCAATGCACTTCGCAGCGCCGACGGGAGACTCGTGACCACACTTGAGCCTGTAGTACCTCGGTCCGGATACCCTTTCCGGCGGAGTTCGCGGGCAAAAAACCGTGCCCACACACGGCCCAAGTCAAGTGCCGAGACGCGGAAAAAGAGGGGAAAAAAACTGAAATATCACTCCAGCTGAAGCATCGACCTTTCAGGAGGGTGTCATACCGTTCTACCCCAAACAGTGCGTTGTACACTGAGCAATCTTTGCTGTCACATTGAGAACACGATGAAAAACAGAACATTCACTGATTGTTGGAACTGGACGATGACGGGCTTTGAAAGACTATCCTCCTGTTCAAACGACCTCTTGTTCACTTCAATCATTGCTGGAAGAAGGATAACCAGTCCATTACAGTGACATCCTTCACATGCACGTCACGGTGTCAACAGAAAACAGCTCCGACAAATGGTTTGAGAATGAGTTTTTCAAAACTACCTGAGACACTGGTCTCCCTGTCTCCTGGTATCCTGGTCTCCTGGTTTTCCGATTCCTTCAAGAGAACTGTTTGGCCTCAAAGAAACAAGCCATTCTTAGCAATCAAAAAACCGTTTTTCCATCATCCCCCCTGTAATTGATTGGCTGCGGCTTGCTGCTAGCTGCTAGGAACCCAGCCACCGGCCACCGGCGGGGGGGGGGGAGCAAGGGGGCGATCAGCTCGCCGCAAGGCCACGAGTCCGAGGCGCCCCTTGGCGATGATGGCGGCGCCCAGCGCGCAGTCCCCCAAGGTCCGAAGCTCCTGAGAAAGAAAAAGTCGCCGTGGAGGAAAACGCGAATCCATCCAAGAAAGCCCCCAAAGTCTGTGGATGAGGGCGAATCCATCCAAAAAAGAAACGAAGCCCCAACTTTGCTTTGTGTTTTTTTGCTTTTGTTTTTTTGCTGTTGTTTTTCTTTTCAATGATTCGATTCCCCTGGAAATTCCCAACCAAGGGAGGTTTCTCTCAAACTGGTGTATGGCTGTCTCCTTCTTTAGGGGACCCCGCAGAATGAATTCGGCTATCCTGTTTGTGTTCCTTCAAAACAATCAAAAAAGGGTTACACTCAAAAAACACAGCCATGGATGCGGGGCTGTCAAAATAGGGATTCGGACCAACAAAAAGTGGTGGTCAAACATATACACACACACTCTCTCTCACCTTCGGGCACCACGCCCCCCCCAAAAAAAAAAAGGAAAAACAAAAACAGAAATGTTTGCCATCCGGCGTTCCTCCACTTGTTTTCTTTCTTTCGGGGGCTCCTCCAGCACGCAGCCGGTGGTCATGGGCGTGGTGCGGCCCTCCAGCATCTTCGGCAGCTGCTCCTGGAGCCGCTGCTACTTGAGAAATCAGGTCGAAAACCCCCCAAAAATGGGCGTGGGTCAAAATTAAATCACTAGGGGACCGCAGTAGTTCGTCCATGTTTCCATTTGTCAGGGCAACCCGTTTTGGGTACCTCTTTTGGCCCACCGCCAAATGGCTTCTTTTCCCTTGGTGTGCATGTGGCTGTGGGTCAAAACCCACAAAACCCCTGGTGAACATCAAAATAGGTGGTTCGTGGGTATTCATCCGCCCCAAAATGGAGTCATAGGTTATGACCCATGGCCATGCTCTGCCATCCGAATCCAATAGAGGGTTCCGCAATCTGAGACACAAGATCGGGGTACAAGCCTGAAGAGCTTGAAAGTATATGGCGACTCTGAGGGGGAAAGTAACTGTTTAACTAAACTAAGATGCGGGCGAGACTTGCGACGACTTTCACTGGCTCACTGTAGCCCAGCAGCCTGAGACATATCCTGACTCCAGGGGCTGGGTGGGCTTGACGTTGCGAATTCTGAAAAGCGGACCCTTTGGTGGACAGCATTTTGGTGGGCAGTCATGTCCACCACCCAGTTTTGAGGTTGCCTAAAGTTCGTAGCCATGTTGAATTGTGAACTAACAAGGGGAAAACCAGCAGAATCATCTTGGAAGATGTTTTGAAGCGTATCATCGTTCAAGATGTTCTGAGGCGCATCAGCTGGAACCTTCTGAATTCTCAAAAGCCTGCAAAACTATGCTTGGTAAAATGATATCTTTAAATAAACAATAAAAAGAAAAGGAAACAAACTGGAAACGGTTCCCTGTGGTGTCCCTGCAGACACACTCGCACACACAAAACAAAAAACAAGAGTTTCCCCTCAAAAGCTCCTTGACGTAGATGCGTTGCTGGAGCGCGTGCGTCAGGAAGGTGCCATCCACCAGAACGTGGTAGGGCTCCTTGGGCCGAAAAACTCGGCGAGGCGGGGCCCGCGACTTTCGCTTGCCTCGTCCGCGGAGATTTGGCCATGGGCTTTTCAAAATCCAAATCGTACCGAGTGAACATCCGATTCAATCCAACCACTAAAATAGGTTCTAAAACATGGGCGGTGAATTCACCTGCCCCAAAATGTGATACCATTGGCTTTGACCCACAGCCATTTGTTTGTGAGGGTTGGAGTGAGTCCCCAGGTTTTCTCGCGGAAACAAAAAGGGAGTCCCTCCCTTGCAAAACGGACCATAGACTACAAGTCAATGAGACCACACTCACATGGCAAGTTTGAGAAGCCGTTTGAGAAATCCCATTCAAAATGGGGGGGGCCATTTTGTGGATGTCTTGGGGGTGAAAACGGGGTTGCAAAAGAATAATTTTCCTTTTGGTTTCCCCTTAAAACCAACACCAGAAGGGCACCCACAAACAAGAGACACCATATTTAGAGCAAGGTGGTGGTCGAGTCACCCGCAAAGCTGACTGCATCTCAAGTGATGGGCAAACCCTGCCAAGTGCATTGCACTCCAGTGTTGGGTGCTGTGTCGAAATAGGGGACTCCCCCAAATAAGGCTTCAATCGCCCTTCACTTTGGAAAGCAAGCCGAGCTCGAGCCCAAAAAAAGATGCCCCCCAGTTCCACCCATCAGTTACCACCGCACTTCCGTGGAGTGGCCCAGAAACCTCCATGAGCTTTCCTTTGCACAAAAAAGGCGGCCTTCCCAAACAAGGCGTGAAACCTTAGCGCCCGGAGAACACCAGTACGCCCTCAGACTAACATGGAAGCTCCCAGCCTCTTTGTACATGGAACCAAGTCTTTCAACCAGGTCCTATGAGCTTCCATGATGGTAGTCCCCACACCCGGCTTCCGACTCAAAACCGTGCGTCCTGCACCCCAAAGGTCAGCCGAAAGAAGCGCAGGATCCGGCGGTGGTTCTTGTGCCGCTTCAGACGCATGGCGCGCGAGAACGGGAGACCTCCGGCCCTCTCGCAAGCTTCACGTGGCGTTGGTGGGTTTTGTGTTGGAGGGAATCCACCTGCAGGGTGTTGGATTTGTGACAAATCCATTTTAAAATGTCAACCTTAAACGGACGAAGAACTCCGCATTGCTAAGCATCTGCTGTAGATGGGACTGATTGAAACCCCTGGCTCTTGCAGCCAAAGCTTCAAGCACGCGGTTGAGCCAACGACTGGCTGTGCTCACAGCTCGTGCTGCTCCCTGCTCCGTTTTCGCCAAACGGCCGAGTAAATGCAGTGTCAGCCCATAAAATTTGGGCGAGCTTCTCTCAACAGGCATGGCAGCGTGCGCGCTCATGCTTGCAAGCCCTTCGGCTTGGAAAAGGCCATATTGAAATAGAAACATCCGGCGACCCGGGTGGGGAGCAGGCAACATGGCGGCTGGCATAGACTACTCATGCAAGTGATTGCCATGCCATGCAGTTGCCCAGCTCCCCACAAAAAAAATTGAGCCATGCACCCTTGCAGTGGAGCGGAAACGGAACCTGGCATCGCCTTCGGCTTCTTGCCAGAGCTTGGCCATGCATTGCCAAAAGAATATCATTGCAAGCGCCCATCTCAACCGAAAGTCGCTTCCGAGCGTGGCCGACTCCAGCGAATGCCGTATGGTTCGCTGATTTGTGAGCTTCTCACAAACAGCCCCACAATGAGAAGTGCAGCCCGATTGAAACATATGAAGCGACACGAGTCGCTGCAAATGCGTGAAGCAATGGGAAAAGTGTGACTGTGTTACTGGCCCCCGGTCGTAGCAAAGCCTCCACATTTCGGCTGGGACCATTATGCTTTACTGAGCCTCGTCAAGTCAAGTTTAGACAATGACTTCTTTGCACCATGTTCACATTGACGGGGGGAAAGGCCTTTGCAATCCCTGAAGCAAAGTCGGGGTACGCCCAGCTGTCAGCAGTCGAGTTGGCTGCGAAGCTTTCAGCGACTCCTCGAGCGAAGGGACTGCTGCGACCCGAGTTTGCCTTCCCAACCCCCGCACCAGGACGTCGCCTCCAAACGGTTTCTACCAAAAAGCTCCAATAGGTCCAAAGAGGTCCAGAGGAGTCCAAACTCTTCTGGTGATGGGTCCAAACAAAGACTCCAGCAATAAGTTCAAAGACAGGTTTAGTGCAAAATTGTACGTGGAATGTGTCAACTTCCCAGTCAGGGGTCCAAAACTGTTCATGGACAATTCCAACGAAAAACTGCGAGCCCCGATGACCCGTCCTCACTAGCTTCCTTTGCGCATGTGACACAATAAAAACAGGCGGCTTTCCGGTTGGTTTTCCTTTGAACCCAGGCGAACACGTGAAAAGGGCACCTTTCGCCTCAAAAGCAAACAAACACACATCTCTTTGAGAGAAACCACCCTGAAACCAGCCATTTGCTCTGTCACACCTCCTTCCCCCGGAAAAAGCCGCCAAAAAACGGCGTCAAGCCACAAAAACAACGGCGCCAACCACGTTCTTTTTGGCCTGGCTCCGGCTTTTCCCCTTCCCCCTCCCCCCCCTTTTCCCCGCACTCCACCGGGACTTCTCCTAGTGGAAGCCGAGGCACCCGTTGACCTTGTGCGCCATGGCGGTCTCCGTGGCGTGGAGCAGCGTGTGGAGCCGCTCCCGCAGCTTGCCCAGCTGCATGCTGTCCATCAGCTTCCTGACTCGCGTCTGACTCGCGACCGACCGGTCGGTCCCCCGCCAAGTCCGCCCGTCGACCCAAAAACAACGGGGGGGGGGGGGGGGGAAACGCGTGTACAGGCCCGACCCGTCCCCCGAAAGAAGAAGAAGAAGAAAAAAAACGTGTACAATGAGACCCAAACAAATATCCATCTGTGGGGTGAAAACACTGTGAAATAGCGGCCCTTTCAGATTTTGAGGCACACCCAGCGTTCTTCTACTTGGTGCTTCGGATTGGTTTGGAGGTTCGGTTTCGCGGCTTTCCGTTTGCCCACAAACCCAAACCACCAACTATGGGTTGACATGAGACAACAGGGGCACAGGGAGGGTAGGATGTGCAAATCATTCTTGTCGAGCGTCCCAGAGGGGTGGAGTGGTTTGGTTTGGAGTGGTTTGGGTGTCCAGCGCAGCGGAAAGTCGGAGCCGTACAACTGCTCCAACACTTCTTGGCGCTTTGGGGGCCTGATGGTTTAGAGGTGGTCCGGGGGAAGTTGTTGGGAGGGAAGATCGAGTCTGGGCCTCAAGGAGGTTGGGACCCAGTGGATAGAGCCATTTAGGGTCCGTGAAACCTTTTGTTTCAGCAGGCTCGGCATGCAGGCCAGGGCCGGTCAAAACGCAGCCAGTGCTTTCCAAAGCACACCTCCCCTTAAAACTTGCAAAGTGGTTTTCAGCACACACCGCTACATCACAAATAGGTGTCTTTGAGCTGGGATGAGGAAATAAGCTGCGAAATCCTTTAATTAGCGTCAGCACGGGCACTAGGAAGCGCAGTTACAGCGCCCACAAGGGGACCATGCCTGCCTTATGGCATTGCATTTAACAGCTGGGGCCCTTCTCAAACAAGACATCTGGACCTGCCGATATCTACACTCAAATGAGAAGCTCAACTCTGTCCCGGCCATCACGTCTCGCTTTGGGCATTCCCCAAACCGAGGGAGAACCTGCTTTCTGGCGCAAGCGCCCCACTTCCCAACGCCCGTCGCCGGCCCAAAAGGAGCTCCCAATAGCTCCCGCCAAAGCGGCAGCGTCTCGATGGTGAGCGCCACGTCGCTGCTCAAGCGCACCTCCTCCCCGGCCTTCTTCCCCCCCCGCGGCGAGCCCAGGGGCGTCGCCTGCGTGAGCTGCGCTGACGTCGGGTAGGAACGGGCGACGAGAGGGCGGGGAGTGGAGTGGAGTGGTTGCCTTCTGGGTAGGGGGTGCTTGGAAAGCAAAACCACAGGCAAAGCGGGCATTTTGGGTTGCCCGTTTAAGACGAACCCAAATGGCGATTTTGTACACAAACTCAACAGAATGGTTGGTGCTTGCATAAGTCCAACCATGTGAATGATGCGCAATGAAGGGTCCAGCCAATCAAAACTCATGCCTACATCGAAGCTTCCCCCTTTGAACAAGGCCAAGCTTGTTGCGGGTGCGGCTTTGAATCCTTAGAGTTGCTGACCATTTCGATGCTTGACCATACTTAAGCAGGCTGCTGTGATGCTAATGTTGCCGTGGCGCACGGGCTCCCTGCGCGTACAACAAATGAAAGCAGCAGGCTTCCACCTTTCTAGTCTACAAGGTGAATTTGAACAATTGCGAGAGTGGCTTCTTTGGGTGTTTGCTGCTGCTTCAAGGAATTCATTCATAAGGCGACTGTGCATCTGCGGGAAAGCAGTACACCCTCGCTTGCCTCACACCGCACAGTGTGGTGCACATGTCATTATCGTTGCCTTGCCAGACCCTGGACCTCTATACCGTCCACACTATATACCTGACGCTTTCCATCTTTCCGGAATGGACCCAGGGAATTTCGACTCACGAGACCGTCTTGCAGGCTTCGTCCCTGATTTGGACTCTCAGCGCGGGGGGGGGGCAACAACTTCTTGCCAAACACGATCTGCCAGCTGCAAAACATCATGCTAGCGATGAGTTTGCAACTGCAAAAGCATTGAATCCGCGGGACGGGCCAGCCAAGGGTTCCGCGCACCGTTGCTTCATGCTTCCACTTACCAGGGTTCCATTTTGGTACCATTGGTTTCTTGAGCCACAGCCAAGGACTCGAATTTCGTCGCCTCGGGCGTCGGACCCAGGGAGTTGTACTTCCCGGGCATTGTGGTCCGCCGCACCCAGACGCGGTAGCCGTGGCCAGCGGGACCGTTGGTCCAGTAGTTCCTCAGCCGGGGAAGGAGCCACGCGCTTTGAGCTTTGAGGGTCACTGAGCTACAGAGAGTCGTTGATCTTTTGGGCTGTGCTCCAGTGGTTCCTTGCGCTTTTTGCGGCTGGTTTCCTGGTGTGGTAGATCACGAGAACTCCCCCTTCCCCGCGGAGATCCGCCAAGGGGAAGGGGGGGGTAGGCGTCCACTTGATTAAGGCCCCAGGAAAAATAAATTCCGGTAGTGATGAATTCCATTTAAAACCAGCAATGAAAAAAAAAAAAAAACGTCTTAAGCAAATGGAGGAAGGTTGGGAAGAGGGCTCGCTCCAGTTGATTCGCGCCGAGCCGCATATCCGGCTGCCCGGCCGGGCGCGGGCCCAGCGCCACCCGCAGGCCCGGGGGGGAGCCCACCTCCGCCAGGTACAGGGTGTCGTCGGCGCACTGGATGTTCACCGGCGCGTCCACGGGAATGCCTCTCGGGGGGCAAGCGAACACAGCGCCCGGCCAAGAAAGAAATTGCTGGGAAGGAACAAAAAAAACCCGTGGATATTTCTCTTGGCCTTCCCGGTAGCTCTTTCCAGTTTCCCGGTGGCCAAGAAAGAAATTGCTGGGAAGAAGTACCATTGAAGGCCTCATGCTGCGAGGGTAGGGCCAGGGAATCCCGAGAGAAATATCGGTATGGGCCCAAGAAGGTGCCCCTTGTGAGGTAAAAAGAAGCCGGTATAAAGATCGCGGCCTTTTCACGGAGAACACGACAGTCGCAGTAACCAAAGTAAGCGAATTCGGAGCGCCCAGTCTGACAATGGAATGCTTAAGGTCTGTCAAACCCCCCTCCTCAGCTCATCACTTGAGCAAAGAAATGGATGGCTTACGCCAACCCTACAGAATGTCTGTCCTCAGGGCGGGTATGCCCGGACCCAAACGCCGCGGAGCTCCGCCTCCTCTGAAAAATGAGAGGCAATGCTAAAGCTTGTAAGGTCTGCTAGTTTGGGGTTTTGACAGACCTCAAAGGAAGTAACAGGCACGCCACCTGTCCCTCGCAAACGGACCATGGTCATGGCGCAAAGAAATTCCCCCATCCAGCTCGCAACCGATATCTGGCCCTGCATCCGCGCCTGATTCACGACGAGCCTTCATCAAAGAGGCGATCTTCTTCCGATGATCGTCTCCCCAGTCCATGATGTGGTCCCAAAACACGGAGGGTATTCCTGCGGGAAAAAATGGCGCACCCTCAACCCTCGGTAGAAACCTAAGGCAGAATCTGTGGTCCCCGCAGCTGTCGTCCCACGGTTCGATGGCAGGCTTCAGTTGCCCGCCAAGGCCCTCTTATCTTCACAGGGCACCCATTTTAGACTTCCCCTTTTTGGGAGGAGTTTTCCCAGGTAACAGTACCAATACTGTTTCTTCTTCTTTCTTTCTTTTTTGGGGGGGGGGTGATTTAAAGGGACGCCACGCTTCAAACCAACGTTCTTGTGATGGGGTCCCCGTATTTTCACACACTCACACGCCATGACGGCCCAAATCGGTCCTGGATGCGTCAGAATGTAGGCGTAGCCAATAAGCACCTTGTCGTCCGGGAAAGGCCAGTGCCGCTGGGTGCTGCCTGTGTCATGGTTGTCAATGAAGGTGACGGCAAACTGCCTGAGATGGCGGCTGCAACGGGCTGCATGTGGCTGTGACTCTGTTTGGGTCGGTGCCTTGATTGTTTTTCTTTTTCTGTTTTTTTTTTTTTTTTTCTGGTTTCTTTTGGCGGGGGGGGGGGTTGCCCGGGCAACCAAACAGAGAAAACCACCAGGCTTGGGCAGAATCGGATACTAACAAACCCCGGTGCCTACAAAAGCCAGCAAACAGAAGGAGGTCGTCGCAAATAAGAATGAGAACAGCATCTGTGCTAAGTATATTCAAAAAGAGAGGCTCCTTTGTTTCAGTTGCTGGAGAGCCCACGCTCTTCTAATGTTGACCGAGCTTCGGCAGCCAGCCGATGAGACCCGGAGGCTTGCCGTTGCCATCCTTCAACCTGCCATGGCTAAGGTCATACACTCAAACTTATATATATATATACATACATACAAACATTTTATATAGATATCCGCCGAGGGGAGGCGCACGGGAAGGGTGCTGCGGATGCGTTGCCACGATGATAGTTATCATCACCATTGGAGATGCAGAGGATGCTACGATGATAGTTATCATCATCATCATCATCATCATCATCATCTGCAATCTTTTTCATATCATTATCATTATCATCATCATCATCAGCACCACCATCATCATCATCATCATCATCATGCGTGGACATGATTATCATGAGGACTGCTGGTGATGCTGATACGTAGTCGTCACCATGTCTTTGTATAGTATACATTTCAAGTGCGGCGTTAGAGCCCATTGGTGATGCAAAAGATGCGTGGACATGATTATCATGATGATGAGATTGGAGACGCAGAGGGTGCGTAGTCATCGTTATCATCATGACTGTTGGTGATGCAGAGGATGCACGATGATGGTTGTCATCATCACCGTTCTCATCATCGATGATAACCATCATCGTGCATCCTCTGCATCAACAATAGTTATGATGATAATGATGACTACGCACCCTCTGATCATCACCGTTATCATCATCGATGATAACCATCATCGCGCATCTTCATTGATGATAACCATCATCGTGCATCCTCTGCATCACCAACACTCATGATGATAACGATGACTACGCATCCTCTGCATCTCCAATCGGCTCTAACGGCACTTTTGAATCGTATATCAAAAGATAAGGATCGTCATCATAGCCGTCATCATCACCGTTATCATCGTGCATCCTCTGCATCACCAATAGTCATGATGATAATGATGACTACGCGCCCTCATGCAGAGGGTGCGTAGTCATCATTATCATCATGACTGTTGGTGATGCAGAGGACGCACGATGATGGTTATCATCGATGATGAAAACGGTGATGATGACGATGATGGGCGACGGCTGTGATGATAATCCTTATCTTTTTCATATACTGCATCCTCATTGATGATAACCATCATCGTGCATCCTCTGCATTACCAACACTCATGATGATAACGATGACTACGCATCCTCTGCATCTCCAATCGGCTCTCGATGCTATGATGACGACCCTTATCTTTTTCATGTACGATTCAAAAGTGCCGTTAGAGACGATTGGAGATGCAGAGGATACGTAGTCATCATTATCATCATGAGTGTTGGTGATGCAGAGGATGCACGATGATGGTTATCACCGATGAGGATGCACGATGATGGTTATCATCGATGATGATAACGGTGATGATGAGATTGGAAATGCAGAGGGTGCGTAGTCATCATTATCATCATGACTGTTGGTGATGCAGAGCATGCACGATGATGGTTATCATCAAATCATCATTATGATCATCATCATCTCATTCTTGTTCTTATTCTTTTCTGCGTTTCAAAAGTAACGTTAGACCCCATTGGCAATGCAGAGGATGCTACGACGATATTTATCATCACAGCCCTCATCCTTATCATCACTATCATCATGGTTATTATCATCTCTTATAAGGGTGTTACGATGATAGTTATCATCATAATCATCATCATGATCATCCTTATTATGATGTCATCGCTCTTCTCATCATCATCATGATGATCATCATCTCATTCTTGTTCTTATTCTTATTCTTATTCTTATATGCATTTCAAAAGTAACGTTAGACCCCATTGGTAATGCAGAGGATGCTACGATGATAGTTATCATCACACTGGTGATGCCGAGGATGCTACGATGATAGTTATCATCACAGTCCCTTATTAGGCAGCACTGGTGATGCAAAGGGTGTTACGATGATAGTTATCATCAGAATCATCATCATGATCATCCTTTTTATGATGGCATCGCTCTTCTCATCATCATCATGATGCTCATCATCATCTAATTCTTGTTCAAGGGCTGCCGCCCAGTGCCGCCCACCCCTGGATTTAGTTGCCCTTGGTTTTGGTTTCTTTGGTTTCTTGTGAATGATGCGTAGTGATGATTATCATCAAGGCAGGACTCCAAATCTCAATGACCCAAATGGCAGCTGAGGCGAGGTGCCGTTTCGACAGTGATGCGTAGTCATGATTATGATCATCGCTGCTGGAGATGCTGGGGATGCGTAGTGATGATTATCTTCATGATTGCCACAGATGCTGCGAATGATGCGTAGTGATGGCAGGACTCCAAATCTCAATGACACAAATGGCATCTGAGGCGAGGTGCCGTTTCGATAGTGATGCGTAGTCATGATCATCGCTAGGCACCCTTGGTAATGCAGAGGATGCTACGATGATAGTGATCATGACAGGGATCATTTGTTGCCCAGCAAGTCACAGTCCCTGTTCGTGTCTTCAAAAATGCAAGCAAAACCCTGAAATACAAGATTAGCCTTTTGGGGCCACTAACATTTCACCCAAAAGAAGCCAAAGAAACCAAAACCAAGGGCACTGTTTTTTGTGGCTCCAAAACCACAACTAAATCCAGGGGTCGGCGGCACTGGGCGGCAGCCCTTAAATATGTATATATATATATATATACATGTGTTATTCTCTACTATGTGTATATATATATATATATCGTCATATTATCTCACACCACAAAAACAAAAACACATACATATGACCCTCGCTTCAGTCAGTCAGTCAGTCAGTTTCGGCCTCCAGAACTGGGTCTTCTGGCAGGCTTCCTGCAGGATGCCCTTGGTGGTGAAGTCAAAGGCCGCGGACTTCTTGTACGTGGCGTTCACCCAATCCACCAGGGCCTGGCGGTGCCTGTCCTGGTTGTAGCCTGAAATCGAAGGTCCCTTTGGTGGAATGTCTCTTGGGGGATCATGCCCACGTGAGGAGGCTCATATTCCAAATGGCAAGCCGGGATTTGAGAGCCGCAGCTCGCAGATCTGTTGCGCCAAATGATTCCTGCCCTCCAATGGTCTCCGATATTCAGCGAAAGGCTCATGCTGGCTGTCTCAAAGCGGCATCCGAATCGCCAAAACGGGGGGTTGTTCCCTTGGTTTCTCTTCCACTAACCCTAAAGGCTCCCTCAAACAGCAGATATGCCCAAATGGACATGGTGCGCACGAGAGACAAAGGACGTACCCTGAGCAAAGGTGAACACATGCGCTTGCCACATTGGACATGGAAAACTTTGCGACTCACCCGGGCAATTTCGTGAGTCCACCCCTGTCGTTGCTCTCCACGGAGGTTTCTGACGGAACAGAGTCACGGCCCTCCAAGGGGCCGTGCCCCTAATTGGGGGGAAAGGGGGGAGCTATCGCCGACCTCTTAACCCCCAGAATACAGCCTTCAGGGCTTATGCTTGGCTTATCCGGGATAACCCTCCCCTCAAACTCCCCCAGTATTGCCTCAAACTGGTGAACCCCCTGGCATCTGAGCAACCTCCATGACCTGAGGCAAGCGCAAAGGCCCTGGTCATCATAGTGCATGTCCGTCCAGAGCTCCCCCACAGCCCAAGCGGGGTGGCTCTTGGTGCAGTAGTGTCCTCACCCCGTCTGTTCAATGGTTCTACCACTCCCAACCCATTGCCTCCATGCTTGTTTGCATTTTTTTTGAGCCATGGTAAATACGAATTGCGTCCCAACTCACATCGGAGTTTTGCCGAGTGCCAGCATAGCTTCCTCATGGTATTTTGGTGAGTGTGCCCATTCCGTTTGCTACAGAGTAAATATCCACCGTTGCGTTTGGGGGTAGAAATGCTCAAGATGTCCAACTTGAAAGCATGACCAAGGAGATTCATGTTGTTGCTAATATTGGTAACTAAAAGGCGGTGATTGAACTCTGTAGCCAGGCAAACAGAGTGAACTTGAAGCCGCTCATTCCGGCGGGCTGCCACTTTGATTGGCTGACACGCAACATGGAGCGTCGGTGTCCCTTTGGCGTCACTTTCAAGCAACACGCATAAGACAACCTGCCAAAACTGGTGGTTGTTGACTGCAAACACAGAGTCACCCTGTGGACCTTTCCCAGGAGAGGGCCAACATGGGCCAACGCCAGAAAACCCAAAGGATCCCAAAAGATGATGATGGAAGGAGCACTGGCGCCCACAGCAGCAAAGCTCCACACCTGCAAAAGGATCCCAAAAACCTGCCCCCCCCCTCCCCACGCCCCTTTCATGGGAGGAAAAGCCCCATGTTTGACGCCCGTCCGACAAAGTCGGGGGCGTAGCCCTTGGCAAAGTCGAAGCGCCATCCATCGAAGCCAACCTTTCGAGAGCGACGACCTATAGACCTTTTGCTTCTATAGCTAGTACAGGTTATAGGCATATGATTCACCTATCCGCTTGTGGTTCTACTGTGGCTGTAAAGGTTGTAGGGCTTTGGCTAGAAAGGTTATATTACTGAAATGGCGTTCTATGGCTATAGATGTTATAGGGATCACGGGGAAGAAAAAAAAGTAGAACCACCTTCCATGGCCGATGGGATTTGGGCGCTCAGATCCCAATGTCCCCTTTGACCAGTCGAAAAAATCAAGAACCACCTACAAATGGCGAACCAAGGCGAATCGGGCAATCTGCTCAAATCTGCATCTTTTCGGGGCTGCCCAGCTTGGTTGGTTTTAAAAGAAAGTCATGTGGTTCTTCCTTTTTGAGGCTTATTTCCGCTTGGCTGCAAAGGGAAACCGACAGGAAGCCTACCTTTGGCCAATTGGGGCCGTGGCACGATTTGGTGACACGCCCGTTTGTCTCCGAAGGAGATATGGAATCTCAATGGGCACTTCGGTTTACTCCCAAACAGAACTGAACCAGAGCTACCCTGCCACCAATCAACATAGAACCTGACAGGGGGGTCCTGAAAGACCATTTTCCTTTGAAAGGGAACCCCGGTCAGGTACCAAGTCCAAATACACAAGTTGGTACCCTCACCAGGCACACACGCGCGCGCGTGCGCGCGCCCGCCCGCCAAAGGCGTGCCACCCGGCCTGTAGGCGCAGCCATCTCAGCCACACGCTGATGCTCTCCTGTACCTGGTGGCCAGGGCTCTGGAGCTCCCCCCCCCCCAAATTAAATTGTGTAAAAGTAAAAGTGGGCCACTGTCAGATGCGGAAAAAGGACCTTGTCCCTGAAGCGTTGCATTGCTCACCGCTTAAAAACGCCCCATGTCTGTTTTGAAAAAACAATGACAGCGGTGTCCTTGTTTGGTCTCCCCTTTCAGCAACCAACTGCCTGCTTCGCCCCTGTGGCCCTTTGGCCCGCACCTTGGGGTTGCGGTGGTCGATGTCGGGAGCGGCATCAAAGCGGCCGTCCATGTGGCCAGGAGCGTGCATGCCTCGAGGCGTGTCTCTTTTTGAGGCCCTCCTTGCGGTTGGGCTCAAAAAGAGGTTTCACCGGTATTGAAATGGTCTACCCAGAACCATGCTTCAAGAATTAAGCAGGCGGATATCCGCAACTATTTCTGGCGACTGCCCCTTACTAACCTTCATCCACCCGAATCGGTTTTGATTGTGAACCCATCTCTCAGCTCTCAACCGAACAAATCCAGCGCCTTCAGGCCATAGAAGTTCTATGATTGACGATATGTCAAACATCGGGCAAATGAATAAAAGCGTGCTGCCTCCGCCACGATCCCCACTAGAAGGCGGACGGCTTCAACAGAAGTAGCAGAGGTCCAACTTCATGTGTCTGTGCAATCTTTATTTTTTCTTGAGGGTACCCTTTTTGAAAATGTGTTTTTTCATGTTTCTGAGGGTACCCTTTTTGAAGATGGGCTTATTAAAATGGAAAACCAAATGGGAAGCCCGGGTTCTCCATGGCCCTAGCGCTTTGACCCGGAGAGCCCTGGCTTCAGCGAAGCGGCCGCTGCCGTCGGAGTACTGGTCCCCCAAGGTCACCGCCCAGCCGCCCCAGTCGCCCACGCCCTTGAAGCTGGGCCTCCCGTTGAGTCGGACGCAGCGCAGCCGGGGCTTCGGCGCCCTTTGGGTTACCCTGGACTCCATGATTTTACCATGAAAGTCACCCCCAAATTATGATGGGCTGAAGGGAAACCACCGATTCCATTTTCTGACTTTGACAACCCGTAGAAACAAGCAAAATCATGACCCCAGTTACCCCGAAAAAAGAAAGGGCTTCCAACAAAGAAAGGACCACATTCCGCGCGAGAAACGCCTTTTTTCACTCCAGCAAGTGGCTTGTACGAAGGAGAGACGCTTGCAAGAAAGAGGGAGGCGGCGCGGTCGATTCCTAAACCCCGACTCGTACATCATGTGTCCCAAGTTGGAACAAAAACGACCAAGGAGGGTGACAACGGGGGGCAGTAAAATGGGTGTGCCACAAGTTGTTGGGTAGTTTTCCGTTTGTCCCAACTGCAGTAGACCAGTGAATACTCATGAAGGAGCATTGGACTATTTTTGGCTTCCTCCGTGTCTGAAGCTTCGAAGCGCCTGGATTTCATCCCGCTGCTGAATTGATTCCAGCGGCCGTCTTTGTCCTGCCCGTCTCCACACCTGGCGGAAAGCACCGAGTTTGACTTAATCCTTACCGGATGCGAGTTTGTTCCAGCGAAGCTCAAGCAAGTGCATCAAAAGCAGCCAATCCTGCCCCTCAAAAAATAAACAAAAATAAAAGCATGCACACCCTACAACCTGAATCCCCAGATTCCCCTTTCTGGATGGCTTCAACAGTACCTCTGCCCTTCCAAGTAGATGTCCATTTGATCTTTACAGGTTGAACACTTTCTTGAGCAACCGGCAACATCCTGCTGAACCTAACCCTCTCGGACCACTTCACCTGTGTCACCATTGTGGGAATAAACTTCCACCAACCACAAATCAGGCGGTTCCCCGCTGTATAAAACAAAAATGCAAAACAACACGCAAGTAAATCCCCCGGAAACCCCCCCCGGGGCTCCGGGCCTGTGGTTGATCACGATGTCGGCCATGCAGCGCAGGCCCGCCTTGTGGCACCTCTCCAGGAGCGCCTCCAGCGAGCCCTGAGCCCCGTACTTGGACTCCAGGTTGAAGAGCTGCGACGGGAGGTAGCCCTCGAACGGGCATGCGCAAGACCCGCGCATGGATAAATCAAAAGGAGAAGGAAAAAAACGAATGGGAGGTAGGCCTTCCATTGAAACCAACCAACCAAAAAGGGTACACACACGTAATCGCAAAAGTTTGGTGGTGGTATGTGGGCGTTGATCAAAATGTCCGTACACGGGATGAATAAATGCGAAAAGTGATCCATGCTCATTTTGGGGCCAGGAATCTTGATCAACCCCCACATGGGCGCAAGGACCAGGTCATGGCATTTCTTAGTGACCTGGTCACGTCACTAGTCGATGTTCTGCAAGGGCCCTCACACGAGGTGGCCGCCCTTTGGTTGCTGTTTGAGTCACACCCGCGAAGCGCAGCCTCGAAAGGAAAAGAGAACACCTGCCAACGGCCAGTGCGCAGGTCTTTGTTAGCAGCCTGTGTGGGGTTGGTTGAAGGGAAACCAAAAGGAAACCGAAGCCCGAAGCCCGAAGCCCGCAGCCCATCATTTCGGGCCATCCCCCCACGTAGAAATAAATCCACATTTTCTCAAGCGAACGGACTTGGAAGCACAAAATCCCGTGTGCCACGTTGAATTCTGTGGCTCAGGCTCCACTTTTTTGGAGGTACGCCTGTGGAGCGACAGACTGCGAGCATGGCGGGAGCCAGATGTCAGTGAAGCCCATCTCGGACATCATCGCCACCTTCTTGGCGACGACCTCAGCTCCACGCCACTCCGATTTTCACGAAGCCGAAGCCGGGCCCTTGCACCATGGACCGGTGGACTCAAGCCTACGAAGAACCAAAAAGGTCCTACACATGGCCGGGGCTCAAAATTAAACGGGGGTTACGCGGGTTTTGGTGCATGTTTCCACTTACCAGGGTTCCATTTTGGTACCAGTTTTTTGAGCCACAGCCACATCTTTCTGTAAAAATTCTACCTATCTCCCAAGCTTCCTCTTGGATGGCTCGTCTGTCCGAGGCGCACTGTAATAATCGCCGCCGCCTGCTCGCCAGCTCTCCCAGTTAAAGCCTGCGCAGGACGGAGGGACCACATGTTTTCGGGGCGGCATCCCCAAAGAACAAGGAAAGCTTGCCTGGCCAACTGGGACTGTCTTTTGTGGATTTCCTTGGGGTTGGTTTCTGTTGGGAAAACAAAAGGAGCACACCGAGCAAACCACCCATGGGGTCTTCCTGGACACGGACGGCCGAGGACGGTGGTTTTCTGTTTCGCGGAATTGTTTTCCAGTTGTTTGGTGTATTTTGTTCCAGTTTCTTTTTCTAGACGACTTCGGAAAGAATTTCAGGTTGGTTTCGAAGACAAGAATGATTGCCTCTTCGTTGGACAACGCATCCAGTGGAAGCAGGATAGCACATTCGGTTGGTACATTAGGCGGCAAATAATGGAAGCCTTTTGTTGTCTTATATCTTGTCTTTTGACATTCGTTCGGTACTATGGAAGCAAGCTGTTTCTTGTTGCTTGCGACTAGTGCTATTTCATGGTGGAAACAATGCGGCCATGGATCTAGCTTTGCACGGTGCCAGCCTGTTTTTGTCCGCAATATGAGTTGGAATATGGAAAGCGTAGTTTAGCTGTATTTCGGCCCCAAACAGTTGCTGCGCGAATGATCCGGGCTCTAAATCAGCGAGCAAGGTCTCAAAAGGAGGCGCCATGGCAGCGAGATGTCAGTTTTAGAGTGCGCGCGAGACTTGCTTGCTTGCTTGCTGGCTGGCTTGCTTCCTTGTTTGATTGCTTGCTTGCTTGCTTGCTTGCTTGCTTGCTTGCTCAAAAAACAATTGTTTGCTTGCATGCTTGCATGCTTGCTTGCTTGCTTGCTTGCTTGCTTGCTGGCTTGCTTCCTTGTTTGCTTCCTTGTTTGCTTGCTTGCTTGCATGCTTGCTTGCTTGCTTGCTTTGCTTGCTTGCTTGCCTGTTTGCATGCTTGCTTGCTTGCTTGCTGGCTGGCTTGCTTCCTTGTTTGCTTGCTTTCTTGCGTGCTTGCTTGCGCGCTTGCTTTGCTTGCTTGCTTGCCTGTTTGCATGCTTGCTTGCTTGCTGGCTGGCTTGCTTCTGCGTTTGCTTGCTTGCTTGCTTGCTTGCGTGCGTGGTTGCCAACTTGCTCCAAATGCTTGCTTGCTGGCTTGCTGGCTTGCTTGCTTGCTTGCTTCCTTGCTTTGCCTACTTGCTTGCTTGCTAGCAAGCCCTCGGTTACGGCTAACCCCTTGCTTGCTTCCTGGCTGGTCTAACTAGAAAAAAATACGCCGAAAAACCGGAAAACAATTCCCCAGAAAATAGGGGAACCGCCGAGGACCGGGTATTGAACACAGTCGCCCACCGACAAGCGGTGGGGTATGGACAACAAAAAATTGAGAAAATGGAGCCTGGCATCAGAAATACATGGTGTTCCGCAAGGGCTTTTTTCCACACCTTTGACCTTGCTCTGTCTTGAAGTACCAAGATTCACAGCCAGAGACGAGCCCTGCCTTGCAAAAGTACCATCTTCGATGGATCCACCGTCTCCTTGGTCTGCTGCCACTGGCTTTCCCCGTCAGGGATCACTATGCTGACACGGCTTTCCCACCCCAGCGATCACCATCCAAGATTTGGGTCAAAACCAATGGTTTTTGTACGCGATCTCCATTCAAGATTTGGCTGTGGGTCACCGTTATGGGATCGCATTTTGGTTGGTAGGTGAATTCACCACCCATTTTACAAACCTATTTTAGTGGTTGGATTGGGATGTTCCCTGGGGGTAACCGGGATTTGGACCCATGGCCATTTCTCAGGACCCGCTCCAATGGCAGGTCCAAGAGTCGGTGATTTTGGCCATTCGCTCAATCAGGTGCGTACTCTTCATCTTCCTCTGAAGCCTTGCCGCAGCTAATCCGCATTGCAAGCTGCCACTACATTCTGAGCTGTCCTCAGATCCCCCGCTAAAAGTCCAACTCTTAGTGGGCTACATGGAGAACCCCACTCAACATTGAAAGGCTACAAAGCTAAGGGATGGCTGGGATCCACGAAGATTTGAGCGCCCAACACCAGTTGATGGTCAAAATGATGGGCCATACTATAATTCTCATGATAAAAGGACATAGAAATGGCCTACCGGGAATGATTTTTGGCTGTGCATTCTCTTCAGCGGTCCTGTTCAGCTTGGCACGCTCCTCAATGGCATCGAGCTCCTGAGAAGGTTGGAGAAGCACGTGCGCTACCTTGACCTGAACCCTAAAAACGGGGTTGGGGTCCTTTCGTTTTTCTTTGAACCAACCCAAAAAAGGGGACACCTGTATCCATATCTATTGTGCCCCAAACACAGGGTGAACATTTCCCCTTGGTATGGCGAGTGTGGTTGCCATGTCATCCCTCTTCACAAACAGTACCGCCATCACGTGAAACCCGCGTGAAGCCCGCGAAGCCTTCACATGCTCTGCAGCTGCTTGATGAAAGTGATCAAAGTCGATGAGGAGAAGGCTCGGCGTCCTGGAGACGCCAAAGGCATTCGCTCGCGCCAAAAAAAACAAATTGAGCTGGCGTTTGGTTCGAAGATGCATGTCTTTTTGTGTATAGGCCCAGCTATTGCCCCATGAAACCAGGTAGAACCCAATGCAAGGGTTGGGCGCTGGTATTTATCAACATGAGGCATCTGAATTTGGTGTGGTCTTTCTGTGTAATTCTAGCTCCATGTGGTGAAACAATTTGTGGTGCCTGTTGGTTGCTTTTGAAGGCGAACCAAAAGGAGACCCACCACTTGGAGGGTCAAACTTGAAGCAACGCCCATGAAGTGTCGAAGAGCATTCCTGCCTGGTCATTTCCTCATTCACGCGGCCACGACGGTCTTTGCACAGATGTCGGCTGCCCCGGCGCTGTATGGCCATCGAGGTGTCAAGCCTGCCGAGTCAGCGGCCAACAACAAAAAGAGAAGACCTGAACTCTGCGAACAAGGTTCTGCCCACTGGGACGTCGGGACTCGGCAGGCAGGGAGCAGGTGGACATGTGATTGAACATGACTCAGCGCAACCTCGTGAAGCAGAACTGAGGGCAGAACGGAGTCAAGTTCCTCATCCTCCTGGACAGCAGAGCCCAAGTAGAATGTGCCGCAAAAAGAGCAAGCGGGCAAACTTTCGTTCTCCCACCCGTTCTCCAGGTTCACTGATGTCAAATCATCACACATTGCTAGCGCAAGACCGAGGCAATGACACTTGGCGCTGTTTGTCTTACGGTTGGAACACCCCTCAAAAAAAATTGGTGGACATACCCTCCCACCAGCTAGCATGGAAGTGCAAAAAAGCCTTTCCAAGAAGAAAGTAGAGATGTTAGCTGGAGGGTAAATTCCAAATGTGTTCCTTCGGGCCCCTTTGGTGGGCTGAATTTGGGCGAGGAAAAACATGTCCACCAAACCCGTCCAAAGCTTACCCGTCCTTGACGCCTGGCTGATCCCAGGTGCAGGACACCGTCATGCTCGCCTGGCTTTCCGCCGGAGATAGAGGGTGAAGCATGGCTCAAGACAAGTGGCTGAGACAACCATTCGGAGGAGCGCTTCATGTAACACAGACACAAACGAGCAAAAAGGCAAGCAAACCAAAAAAAGAAGAAAAAAAACAAGCCAGGCTCAAGATCAGCGAATGGTCCCCTGCCCGGCTTCCAGAACACTTCCAGAACACTTCCAGAACACTTCCAGATCCACATGCGAGAGCCGCTATCGCACGCATTGCAAGTCTTTAGATCGAAACTGTGCGTCTGACGAATTGGCCATGGGTCAAAATCCCGGTTACCCCCCAGTGAACATCCCAATCCATCCACTAAAGTAGGATCTAGAATCGGTGGCGAATTCACCTACCCCCCAAAATGAGATCCCATTGGTGTTGACCCACAGCCAATTCATTTCTGCGCTTGCCTCCACCTTCGCAGGCAGCTTCACCTCCAGGATGCGGTTCCCCGTGTGCTCCCAGCGTGCCGCGTTCGCGCTCCGCACCAGGACCTTGAACTCGATCCTATCGCACGGGGGCGCAATTTGGCTGTGGGTCAAAACCAATGGGATCCCATTTTGGGGTAGGTGCACCACCTATTTTAGTGGTTGGATGGGGATGTTCACTGGGGGTACGGGATTTTGACCCATGGCCATTTTTGGAGGTTGCGCTCAGCTTGGTTTACCTTAAAATGGCCACGCTGAATGGCTTTCGTGGCTTTTGTCACAGCCCCATGCCCCCCACACCGCGATCGCGCCGTAGGTCGGGCCGATCGCGCCGCGCGGCGACCGAGGGCTCCTGCTGCCATTGGCCAACTGCACAGCCTCCGACTTCCAGCGCGGGAAGGTCTCCGCGGTGGTGGTGCACTTTAAAGCCTCGGCCCAACCCGCGGTAGTTCTGACTGGGAAGAGAAAACACGTAGACGGTACGTGTGGGAGCCGGAACGATTGTCAGACAGTTTCTTCCAATCAAGTGTCAGACAGTTCGTTCCCATCATGGAAGTCTGTGGACTTCCAAAAAATGGAAACGTGGACCTTGGGGGGGCCTTTTCAGCCCGTCTTCAGCCCCCCGACTTTCATTGGCTGCGGCGCTTCTGGGCTTCTGGGCTGGGCTGGGCCCCTGGCCGCCTTGGGATCCCAAGCTCCCAGCTTCTTGTGAGAGCCGACCACAAAGACCTCTTCCCCTCAGCGAGCGAGCGAGCGACGTGCCCTTCCCGGGTGGCCCCAGGTGGCGGCCAGGTGGCGGCCAGGTGGCGGCCAGGTGGCCAGGGGAGGCTTGGCGGTCGTCAGAAATCGGGGAACCCGCCAAAAATGGGTTGGGGGCCCGGTCGGACAATGGCAACATGGGACCTGAAACCTGGAGTCCAATTCCTGCCGGCTTTGTTTTGACCCCATACCCGCTTGATCCGTGCTGATTGATTTGCACGCGGTTCGCGGGTTGCCGCTTGCGGTTGAAACCTGCCGGCACGCATATTCGGTGGCCACTTTCAATCAATTCACCTGAGGCTTGCTGACCCTGACACCCAAAAACACGGCCCGTGCCCAGAAAGCTTGGGTTGCGAGCACCCCCAAACCTGTGTTCCGGAGGGCTCGCCAAATCTCGCGGAACCGGCGCACCGGGGCTCACGGGTGCACCGGTTCGAGATTCCGCCATTCCGCCAGCGCGGACCTGAGACTCCGGCCGTGCTCGGTGCTCGAGCACTCCACATTAAAGGTCGTCCGCACGAAAGCCATCACGGCGAACCAAGGGGTTCAACTTCGCGCTGGATCTTGGGTTCCAACAGCCCCGTAAGATCTCGAGTTCCGGCCGGGTTGTTTGCATCGTTGGGAGTCTTAGTCTTGGAAGATGCAAAGCCTATGGGCCATAACATTGCGGCAACGGTGTGGCCCAGACGTGGCAGCGAATGGATTGGTGACTGTGGAGTCATGGAGACCATGAGCATGGGAACGACAACGCTTCAAAGAGTAGCGACAACACAACTCAATGTCTCTCCCAACAGCCTTTCTTGACGTCGGTTCATGCGCTTGGCGAATTCCACGCACGAGAGATCCTTTGATCCATCTCTAAGCTCGCCGTAAGACAATGCACTTGGAGCCCACCGAAAAGGGCGCCAAAAACCAAACTTTCGAACTTGTTGCTGCTGCTTGCTTGCTTGCTTGCTTGCTTGCTTTCTTGCTTGCTTGCTTGCTTGCTTGCTTGCTTGCTTGCTTGCTTGCTTGCGTGCTTGCTTGCTTGCTTGCTTGCCTGCCTGCCTGCCTGCTTGCTTGCTTGCTTGCTTGCATGTGTGTTCTTGCTTGGTTGCTAACTTGTTTGTTTCTTATGGTTGTTGAAGAAGGTCCAAAAAAAACGAAAACATGGTTTTAGGCGATACCCCTCTCAGAGCTGGCGCACTTCGCGCCATCGCTCATCCCCAAACTGGCTTGTAGCCCGAAGGCCTGTGCCTCGTGTCCGGAGCCGCCTGCAGGGTGGGCGGCTAGGAGATCTGCGCGTTTCAACTCAAGGCGCAGCACTCGTCCAGTCATCAGAGTGGGAGGCTGTGCACTTTCTCGCCAGCAGACAAAATAGCTTGTTTTTACCTCTTGCACCGTAACTTCCAGAAGGCTCCAGCGCGACCTCCATGGCCAGCCCTTTGTTCACCAAGCAGCAGCCAGGCCTATTCATGAAAACCTAGGTGTGCTTTTAGGGCACATAGATGGCCTGCTTGATGAAACCACCAGGTAAACCAGGAATCGCCATCCATTTTTTCCTACCAGAACCAAAAAGCTAGATGATGAAACCACCAGGTAAACCAGCCAGAACCAAGAAGGACACCTCTGCTTCGCACCCTTCTGCCCCTTTTTTCCCCTCCAACCCCATCCGCTGGACCCGCACCTCCGGCGCCTCGTAGCCCGGTCCGGCCGGCACGAAGCCCGTTGGCCTCGGCCGATTCTGGTGGAGTTGGCACCCATGCGGTGGCGGTTTGAAGGGAAACCGCCAGGAACACCACATCTTTTCTTTTGCCGGGCGGGGGGGGGGGGAAGTGCCAAAACCACTTGACACACCCATATGATCATAGATTTTTTTGGGGGACCCCCGGGGGCAAAACATAACAGAGACCCTCTGACGCCTCACCTCGGAGTCTTGGCATCCAGACCCGGCCACCAGGTGCACGGCGCCCCCCGAGCCGGTGCCAGGGCCACCACTGCCGGCCTGCCAGGCGCTGAGCCCGGGCATATGCCAGGATCAAAATGGGGGAGTTGTTCCACTTTGGAAAAAAGCGGATCACTTTCTTCGGGATGATGACGAAAAAATATTCCCTTCAGGGCCCGCAAAGTGACCATGGGTCACTTTTCCCAGGTGGTGAAAGTCATCTTTGTGGGTGGCGTCCCTTAGGCAAAGGACTGTTACACTGCTTGATCAACCCCCAATCGCGTATGAACTTTCATAGGGGACGCTTTGTTTGGTGGACGCCATTTACATGGGGGATTGGTGCCCACCAACCACTTTTGAGGCTCCTGATTGAAATTCATAGCCAATTGGGTATGGGTCAAAATTACATCCAGACCGCAGGTGTTAGTCCTTATTTCCATCCAAACACCAAGTTGGGTCCTATGAGCGAAACCCAATTGGCAATCAAAAGGTGGTTGTCAAAACGTCAAAACTACCCGTAGGCGTGGTTGCAAACCTCGCGCAAAAGCCAAAAATAAAATGCCGAACCAAGTTTCGGGTCAGCCATGTTGGAGCCATACCTCCAATCTGGCCAAATTGGGGGAGCAAAGACCCTTGCCATTTCCTCTTGGTATTTAGTGGCTGCCACACACTTCCCCCAATTTGGTTTAGTCCTCTACCCACAGAAAGGTTCCGCCAACTCTCACTCAGCTTCAACATGCAAGGTGTGGTTGATGCTCCACGTATTGTTAGCAGGGCAACAAAAAAACACATGGCTTGCCAGGGTGGTCAAGCGTGCCTGGCTTATTTGCAATACTCAGGGCATCGAGCGTTGCAGTACCAGCCCAGTGCTGTTTGACCATGCCTTTCGCTGCAGAGCCAGAGGATGATCTTGCTTATCCTCGGCTGGCTTCACACAAGCCTGCTGAACAGCTGCATACATACACGGGGTATCAAACAGGTACTAATGCATGCGTGTAGGTAGGAAGAAATACATGCGTGGAATGCAATGGTATCCAATGCAATGGAATGCGATGGAATGCGATGGAATGCGATGGAATGCAAAGGAATGCAAAGGAATGCAAAGGAATCCAATGTCCAATTCGATGCCATGAAACGCAATGCAATACAATGTGATGTGATGTGATGTGCTGAAATGTAATGTCATGCAATGCAAATATGTCTGCATGTATCACTTCTCATTCAATTAGCTCATGTAGTATTGCAAATGTGGCCATGTCACCATCTTCAAGTTGCAAGACGGTTCCACTAACCCCGCTTTGAAGGGAACATGGGGAACTGTCTATCACAACTGCAGCCACTGTACTTGGGCGTATGTCAAGCATTCTCTCTAGGGTTGTAGTGGTTGGGAGTGGTGGAAACTGTTCTTTGGGAAAATATAGGATATGCGTGGGCATCAACGTGAATCAAAGTAAAACACATACGCAGAGACAAGACAAACCTCTCGAAACCCCCTTGCCCCATAACTGTGCATGGACAAACAAAGATATCAACAAACCAACACACACAAAAACATGCAAACAAACAAACAAACAAAGAAAAACGAAACAGCAAGAAAGCAAGCAAACAAGCAAGCAGGCAAGCAGGCAGGCAAGCAGGCAGGCAGGCAAGCAGGCAGCAGGCAGGCAGGCAGGCAGGCAGGCAGGCAAACAAGCAACCAGACAGGCAAGCCGGCAAAGCCAGCAAGCAGGCAAGCAGGCAGGCAGGCAGGCAGGCAAGCAAGGAAGCAGGCCAATCCGGCAAAGCCGGCAAGCAGGCAAGCAGGCAAGCAGGCAGGCAGGCAAGCAAGCAAGGAATCAGGCCAAGCCGGCAAAGCCGGCAAAGCCGGCAAAGCCGGCAAGCAGGCAAGCAGGCAGGCAGGCAAGCAAGCAAGGAAGCAGGCCAAGCCGGCAAAGCCGGCAAGCAGGCAAGCAGGCAGGCAGGCAAGCAAGCAAGGAAGCAGGCCAAGCCGGCAAAGCCGGCAAGCAGGCAAGCAAGCAAGGAAGCAGGCCAAGCCGGCCAAGCCGGCAAAGCCGGCAAGCCGGCAAGCCGGCAAGCAGGCAAGCAGGCAAGCAGGCAAGCAGAGAAATGCAAGCGGAGGAAATCCAGCATGTTTGATTGAAGCATTCGCCCTTCAACGCTGAAGGAAGATCCCCATCTCATCGGCTGATAAAAGTGAGTATCGAACCGCGGGCTGACACTCACATTTGCTCAGTATCGAACCGCGGGCATCCAATTGAGATGGACTTCGCGGCCGGGACTGCGCAGACCGTCCCAAGTCCGAACTCCCGGGAGGCGAAGGAGCAAGACAGAGGGGGCCCTTTTTAGTATCCCGTGAGGGGGGGCACAAGACAGAAGAAACAAGAGGCCAATGTTGAATCCACACGTGCAATCGAAAGAGGGTTGGGGTTACCTTATTTTTGACACCCACAGCCATATGGCCATGGGTCAAAAGCCCGTATTCCAGTGAACATCCCAATCCCCACTAAAACGGCTGGTGCACCTACCCCAAAATGGAGCTGTAGGTTATGCCCCACCACTGTTCCAAGCCCGAGCTTCTGATGTGATGCATCCTCCGCTCAGGTGGTCCTGCGCGGAGTCACAACTGCCCGAGATCCTTTCCCTCAAAGCCTTCTTGATTAACGTTTGAAGGCCAGCATTTTTCGCAAATTTTAGCAGTTAAGTGGGGATTTCCCACTAAACCACAACAAGCAAAAATGTAAAATGCGTCCCAACAACAACCATGCCTTTGGTCTTTGACTCACCTGCACAATGGATCTCCCCCTCCGCCTGATCTAAACAGCAAACAAGAGGACCTCAGTCTCGTCCTTCGGCCGGAAAGCCCCGCGCACCACCTGACACAGTCTCGCTAGATGCACAAAACAAGTTAGAACCCCCAAAGCCAGCCGGTTGGCGTCCATACTTGCATTTGGTTTCCATTTGGCTTCCATTGGGCTTGCTTTTGGCCTTTCGTCTCAAGCCCAACGCCCATCCGGGTTTGACGTTTTGGGGGGGGTTCTTTCTGTTTTGTGGAGACCATGGAAAAGCCATTGATTGTTGATGAGGGTCCTGTACCATGCTCTTTGCTCCAACCTGAACTGGTGCCAAAAGGCACGCGCTCTGAAAGATGATTAGTTGAAAGCCACAAATCCGCAAATAGAAACACGAAAAGGGCTTCTTTCCAGGTAACAATGTTAGACGTTGTTTAGGGACGCCACAAAGAAAGCAAACGATCTTGGGGTCCACTGTTTTTGACCCAATGCGTAGATGTGTGCGAACTGTTTGTTCGGGGAACCCTTTGGAAAGTCAAACAGTTGGCTCAGACGATTTGCTACGGAAACCCCACAAAAAGCGGGTGGTGAACATGAACCCCAACATGTCCACCAAAGGGTTCACTGTTGACATTAAAATTCACACCTTCTTGGCTGCCTGGAAAGAGCGGCTCTTCGGGTGGCTTTCTGTTTTGATGGAGATCCATGGGCGAGCAAACCACTTCCCCGCCTGGCCCGGCGTGCGCCGCTCCGGGGTTGCTTCCCGCACGCCCAGCCCAGCCTCCGGAGGCTCAAGTCTTCGCTGGGTAATTAAGCCGTGGTTTCAGAGGCAAACACAGAGGAGACCAACCAAAACAGCAAAGAATGAAGCTCTTGTCAAGCAAAACAATCCCCCCCCCTTTTCAAACACAAAGAAACACAAAGATGCACTTCGTCGGCTGTGGGCGGTGGTCCAACTACCTTTCAGGAACATCCTCTTCGGCACCCGGTTTCAGAGCTGGAAACGGGGCTTGGCACCCAACAGATTCCCAGCAGCGGGTCTGTGCACCAGAAACGCGCCAAAGCGTTGCCGTGAGAGAAAGCGGGACCAAAAAGAAATCCATGCGCCTCAAAGTACAGCCCTTCGGTGTGAGGAACTCCAGAACTGAAACACATCCAAACGGCAAAATCGAATTCTGGGGGCGGAGGGGTTCTGCAACAGCCTCAAGCGTCTTTTTCTGGCAAGAGACTGCCTGGCCCCACCGAACCGGTCGATCCGAAGTCTGCCAGAGCCATCAAAATGCGCGTCACCTAGGAGAATGGCCAGAGAAGCCCGTGGGAACGACCCGGCCTCGAGAACGAAACCCTCCGACTTCAAAAAAGCCTCTTCGGCTATAAATTGGGAGGGGGTAGTTCAGTCCAGGTCACAACCGTTGAAAGTCTCACTTCCATGGGCCAAAGCAGCTGAGTCACAGAAACCTACAAAATCTAACAGGAAATTGGTCAACTTGTCGCCAAGGATTTCAGATAGAAAACATCCTGGGTTTCTCAGACCGAGAGAATCCCCCCCAAAAAAAACACACAAAAACATGATACAAAAGAAGAACTCGAGAAGTCATCGCCGAGCGCACCTCTCCGATCTCCAGGCAGCCCTGAGTGAGGCGGCTGCCGCCGCGCGGCACATCGTCACTGCGGAGCAGCTGGTGCAGCTGAGAAAAACCAGAGCCCACCCCCACAAATGGCTGGATTTCCCCTCCAACTGATTGTCGCTGCGGATGCACAACATCCATTTCGCACCACTTTCAAACGATGGGAAACCATTGTTTGCTGGTATTTACCGGGGAATCGTATCATTGCAGGGTTTCTTAGGTGGTTCAAGGTTTCGTCCATCCACAGTATAAACCTCAACCGAAAGAGGATTCCCTTCACAACATCCGACCTAAAACCAAGAGTTTCCCAAACTGGCCGGTTTTCTTTAAGTCCAAACCAAAAGCTGCGCGCTCTTTCCGAAACAGTCCAGCGAGTCCTTACGATTCTTACTGAGCCGAAAGACGCGACCTTCAAAAAGTTGGCCTATCCCGTCCGAATAGCTTCGCCAAGGGAGCGGAAGGTCTTGGCGCATCTGCGCGAGAAACGTGCGGATAGAGAGGGTCAGCTCAAGCCCTGCGCCGGCCAAGCTTGCGTTCCAAACAGAGCCGGTTCCTCCTGCAGGGCGGAAAAAAAACCCACAACTTTGCGATTGACTGGTGGGCTAACGGCTAATGCATGGGCCGATCCGGATCTCCAGCGTTCGGCCAAAAAGAGCGACTGGTGAGTTTGCAATTAAGCGCCACCTTTGGAGTCTGGGGAAGCCTCAAGAAGGGTTGAAACCCCCAAAAACCACGTGGCACACCTGTGTCGTGGAGTTTCTCGGACTTCACACGGACTTCCCCGGTCCTGTGCCGTGCTTCTGCCGCGGAACAGAAGTGGCAGTGTGAGCAGTCCGCGCCCTTGCGGCACCCGTCTACCTTTCGGGTGTGAAACAGACAGGGCACACAGGTCCTGTTCTGGTGGGCCACGATGCTGCCCACGTCGTGTGGAGCATCCATCACAATGTCCACGTCGACCTTTGGTGAAACCGCCACATCAGGGTCAACTTTCGACCTTAGATGGCGGGGACGCGCAAAAGAAAGCCGCAAAACAAAAAATGCGCGCCTCTTCTTCGCGCGACACGACCAACAAACGTGGACGTTCATGCAACCTTAGGGCCCCCGCCGGGGTAAGATGGGCATAGACTTGGTCCGCACCAGCGGAAAGGGAATCTTGGCCTCCTCGGGCGATGCACCTGCGCGGCCCAACTTCCAGAAGAAAAAAGAAACGCCGCCTCTTTGGGGTCTTGAAACAGGCTCTTGGGCTTTCCCGTTTCAAGGCACGGGTTGGTGAAAAGATGCGCACAACAAGAACCCTGACTTTCTGCTCATTGTGTCTCCCTTTCTGCTCAGAACTCCTTTTTTTGCTCACAACAAATCTGGGAGACTGTTCGGCTTTGGTTCCAGTCGACGACTTCCAGAGAGGCGACCCCAGCCTTCGGCAAGAGGCAAGACATCTATAAAGGAGTTCTTGAAGATGATTGCGAAAGCTCCAAGCTCCTTGACCTGAATGATTCCATGGAGTTGTTCGCATGCAAATGAGCGGATCTATGAGCTCCCTCTCTTTGGGAATTGCAGACGAACACGGTGCAACAGTGGTGGGAACGAGGTTGCTTATCAAGTTCTCAACATGTTCTCAGCAAAGGCGCTTCAAACGTACCAAGCAAATCGCGGCTGGAGGTTCCAGTCCCATCTGATCGTCGCGGCGATGCCATATCTGGCTCGCAGGAAATGCGACTCCTAAAAGGAACGAGAGCACCCTACAATCGAGAGCACTGAACGGCGACGGACAGGACATCGAAGGCGCCAGTCCGCTTCCCAATCAGCTCTCTCAGCGAACTCTTCGCAAGTGGTGTCCCATTTGCCTGCAAGAATTCCGCTTCAAGCCGCCGATACCGGCCAAAAGAAAAAAATGGCCGGGTAACCCCCAAAAAAATTCGGGCAACCCCCAAACGGGGCAAGCCCCGGATTGCAAAGCACAACTCTCCACACCTGCGGTCCCAATTCCTTTGACCCGCCTGCGCGGAGCGCACAAGCCATCGCCTCCGGCAAAGCTGCTGGAGTGGTTCCTGATGGGCGCGGCTCGTCCCTTTTTTTGCCGGTTGGACACGGCCAAAAACGGCGTCGTTTTGAGCAGTTCCCCATGGTTTCCCTGAAAAAACGACGTGGAAAAAAACTGGGGCTTGTGCCCTTGGCTGAAATGACAGAATCTTCCAGCGAGTCCTCCATGCTCCCAAATGCACGTGTAGACTTCTCAGAATGCTTTGGCCAAACCTCGCACTACGCCTTTCTCAAAATCAGCCAAATGCATCCCGGGCCTGCTTGGATCCGGCTTCTTCCCATACACATCCTGCAGAATGCAACAACCCAAAGGCGACGCTTCCGCAAACATCCCGACTTCAGCCTCCTGGAAACATGTTGCTACATGGGTTTGAGGCTCAGTGCCGGTTTTGTCGGGTTGAATTGAAAGGATAACTAAAAGGAGAGCCCTTTTTGGCGGCCGTATCTTGAAACAAACCTGCCCCAACCTGGGCTTCGACTCCCCCTTGGTTTCCTTTCAAAAACTTGCCTGGGTCCAAGTCAGAAGGAAGCAAACTGCTCCAGTGGCGCTTTTTTGAAACCAAAACACGCAAGCCCCAAAAGAGTCTGCCTCAAAGCAAGACCGCGCTCCTTGCCAGGGACGGTGATGGGATCCAGCGGACCGGAGACTGGATGCAGGCCAGGCTGCAGGCTTCCTGGAGCTATCTGGGAAGTGAGTCTCGCTTTTCGGCTGACGTGTTACATGTTTGCGAAAAGCTAAAGGTACTGTGGATGGACGAAATCCATTTCGAACCACCTAAGCAACCCTGGTTTCTGATGATTCCCCCTGAAAATACCAACAAATACTGGCTTTCGATGGTGTCAAAGTGGTGCGAAATGGATTTCGTCCATCCACAGTATTATTGCAGATCCAATCCAGCCAGGCTTGGAAACTGGACCCCGCACAATTGGAGGCGTTTGGCCTGCCAAGATGGGCTGCTGGATTGCTTGCTGGTTTCCCTTTCAGGCCAGCCAACCTGAAGGAAAAATACACGCGCACACACACATACATATATGTATATATATATATATATACATATATATATA